ATGCACACACATTAACTATTCGGCCACCCAACCCCCTTTTCAATCCTAAAAATTTAATAAAAGTCATTTAAGATTTCTTGCCTTTTATTTAGAGATCTTGTGATAATTTCAGTCTATAAAGTATAAATTAAATGTATTTACAGGTCTATAAATCTGTGAAATGAATAATAATAATTCGCTTGCGCGTAGATGTCTTTAGCAACGGGAGGAAAACGGAGGACCCGGAGAAAACCCACGAAGTTGGACACAGCGCGTACGTGCTAACCATTCACTGTCAAATGCCGACTAAGATTGTGTCGACCCCTACATATTTATTTTCCCACCCGAAAGTCCCCCCCCCCCCCCCGGTACTTTCAAGACCAGCAACGGAATTTCGAAGAAGAATAGGCCAGACCGGCTCTGTCCGGGCAAAATGACCCATCATTGTATTACAAATGACTTGGGTGATAATTAATAAAAAGATCAAAGTATATTATTACAGATGACTTGGGTGAAAATTAAAATTGACTTGGGTGAAAATTATAAAAAAAACAAATTAGATTAAAATTGACTTGGGTGGAAATTATAAAAAAAAACAATTTATATTTCAAATGACTTTGGTGAAAATTAAAATTGACTGGGTGAAAATTATAAAAACAAATTATATTAAAATTGACTAGGGTAGAAATTAAAATTGACTTGGGTGAAAATTATAAAAAAAAACAAATTATATTAAAATTGACTTGGGTGAAAATATAAAAACCAAATTATATTACAAATTACGGAAGCGTATAGGGGTCACGCAAAATTTTGTAGAAGACCTCGAGATCCTGCGATACTTTCTTGAGATCTCAACTTAATGTTCTCGAAATCCCCTAATAATTTTCTCGAGAATCTCCCATCCTGTGTTAACGATCTCGAGAATTCGAGTTAACTTTCTCGGGATCTTGCCATCCTATGTAAATTTGCTCGAGATCTCGGGTGTTTTTATGCGTGCGCGTAGATTTAACGTATTCTCAGAGCCCCACAACCAGTCGTTTCGTAGTTTACCCCCCCCCCCCCCCACACACACAACACTTTCCCCAAAACCTTAATAGCACGATAGAGCCTACAGATTTTAACGGATTTGTTTCAAATTTAGTGTAAAGTATTGGTGCCATGAGAGGGCGGTCCCTGTCGCTTCTAGCGCACCTTGTCGTTCTGGAGTTGTCCACCTTTTCCGAAAAAAATGTTAACCCATTAGAGACTAAAGTTTTTAACTGATTTTGTTTTTCAAATGTGGTGTGAAGCACTAGGACCTTTCGATTTTCAGTACTTCGCAAACTTCTGTTCGAGAGTTACCCTCTTTGTCCGTATTTTTTTCAAATGTGACGATGAGAGGAAGAACCCTATCGATATATAGCATTCTTTGACCTTCTGTTCCGTAATATACCCCCCCCCCCCACACACACACACCCTTCACCTCCCTGAAAGCCTTGTTCACGTCATAGAGGCTTCGCTTTTACAATTTTGTGTGAAGCTTTGGGGTCATTCATATTCAATGGTTAGCGATCTTCCGTTCCGGAAGCGTATTTAACAAGCATGTCTGTAATTCAAAGCTTCACACATTAAAGCTAACGTGGCAGGGTTTTGAATTTCATATTTGGTGTGAAGTATTGGGGCCATAAGAAGATGAACCCTATCGATTTTAATCATATTTCAAATTTAGTGTAAATCATGGGTACCCTATCGGTTGTCCGTTTATTCTTTCATTAGTTAGCAGTTTTCCTTTGTAAAAAATGTTAGAGTACTTTTTTTTATCAAATTTGGTGCGAAGTATTGGGCGAATGGTGGCTTCACAACGTGGAGATACTATCATGTAAAGTTTTATATTAACCCGGGATCTCGAGAAAATTTACATAAGATGTCAATATCTCGAGAACATTAACTCGAATTCTCGAGAAAATTTACACAGGATGTCATTATCTCAGGGAAATTATCAGGGGATTTCGAGAAGATTAAATTGAGATCTCGAGAAAATTAACAGGTGATCACGGGATTTCGAGAAAGTATCACAGGATCGCAGGATCTCGAGACGTTCTATAAAATTTTGCATGACCCCTATACGCTTCCGTAACAAATGACTTGGGTGGAAATTAAAATTGACTTGGGTGAAAATTGTGAAAAACAAATTATATCAAAATTTACTTGGGTGAATATTAAAAAATATAAATTATATTATTTTTCATGTCCCTTATCAGCCACTGTAATTTGGGTCTATGTTGTGCAATGAAATGTCCGTTGTGCAGTTCGAATTCGTTTGATATCCGTCCAATAATCTTAATGGTACTGTCATGAGTCATGAAATAACATATTTAAAGTAGGCCCAACGGAGTGTGTGTGTGTGTGTGGGGGGGGGGGGGCTCCAATAATTTGGCCGCAAGTATACTCCTTTCTCCAGGTTATTGAACGCGGTTGATACAACGACGCCTGGTTTTAACCTAGAAGTCAGACTTCTAGAGCGACGGATATGGCTCTAGAATGTAAGGTCCGATCCATACCAAAGTCGAACTCATCCAAAAACTTTGATCCTTAACACGTATAGTTTAAGTTTAATCTCATGAATCGGACAAAAATTGTCGCCTCTGGAAGGTCCACAAACTTCATTCAAGGCAGGGGGACAAAACGCACCAAAATTGAACTCATCCAACAACTAGTGATACTCGTTTTAAGTTTCATCTAAATCAGATAAAAAGTTTGACCTCTAGATTGGTCCATAACCTGGGTATTACATGTTCTTGTAGTATTTGCGTAAAGGGCGGGGGGGGGGCATTTGACTGAAAGTTTCGGTCGGATTTTTACGAAATTCGGTCTCAGCCATAATTATTATGTAACAGTGATAGGTCTATTTTTGAACGGTTTTGAAAATAAGATTAAAAAAAAATAGTGACCTAGGGTCCACAAGCTAAAAACGTGACATTTCGTACAATCAGGGGTCATAATCCAGAAATTACGACCCAATACGCGCCAATATCGAATCTCTGGGTGTTCCACAACCTGGGTATAACATGCTTTTATGGGTAACGGCCATTTTGTCGGGCAGTTTGGGTCCGATTTTCACGAAATTTGCACTCAACCGTAATTATGGTGTAACGGTGGTATATTTGAACGTTTTTTACAATCAAATAACCAGCGGCTGCCAGGCATGAGATACGCCCACATTTTGCAAGAAATGGATAGAGAAAGCTAAACAAAATGCGATTTTTCGTAGAATCAAGGGCCATAATTCAGGTTGTTACGATCCGATATACGCAAATAACAGCATGTAAAATATACAATAATTCGCTTGCAGGTAGGGGGGTCATTAGCAGTGGAAAGGAAATGGGGTAGCCTACTCCCTTGTCACGTTTAAGCGGGGAATCGAAACCCCGCCACTTGATACAATGACAGACCTTGTGATTTCACACGAACGCATTAAACCACTAGACCACCCAAACCCCCATGTAAGACGTATTTTGTAAGTTGCTGTATACTGTATATGTACGGGATAATTGTTTTATAATAGACCTACATAATAAACTAAATTGTTGTAAGCAGTTGTCTTTTTTATCAGACATTTTTGGCACATAAAATATTCCAATTGGCGGAGAAAAAATATGAAAAAAAAATTTATATAAAAATTATTATGGATTTTTGTGGGAAAAAAATTAAAGCCATGCAGTGTGAGCCCTGGTTGCACGTATTCAAATGTGATCTGGGCCCTGTTTCTCGAAATCTTAACTAAAGATAAAATCCAAAATTTAGTAGATACTTCAATTTTGATTGGCTAAGCACTAAAATCAATATAATATTATCCAATCAAATTACTAAAATTTGGATTTTATCTTAGTAAAAATTTCGTGAAACAGGCCCCCGGATGTGTTAATTTCTACTTTTCGAGTTGCATTTTGGCTTGGTGTGCGTCTTAGCGCTTTCTTACTGACATAAATAAATACAAAAATATGACCAAGTCGAAAGTCAACAAGACGGTACACAAAACAAGCCAAAATGCAAGTCGAAAATTAGGAAGAAACGAGGGGCACTATCATCGCGGTGTATTATTTCTTAAAGGGACTGTCCCGATTTGAACAGAGTCTCAAAAATAAAAATCTGAGTACGTATGAAATTTAAGCGCCCAAATATAGAGGAATGGTGTATGTACCTCGTCTCAAAATTTCAGCTCAAAATATTGAGTCGTTTGGGCGTGAACGTCAAAACTGCTTATCCGGACACGTAACCCTTTTAAGATTTCTGGTCAATTTTTTCGTTGGATGGCCTGAATAATCGATTCCAGTTCCGTCAGAGGTCTATACAATGAATGACCAATGTGCTGTACCTGATAACGAAAGGTAAATTTCACCTACACATTATTTTTATAAAATAAAAGTCTGGTTTTATCCAGACACCGCATAATACAGCTTGGGACACCGGTATAGAGTTAGTTGCTCGGCCCTAAGGTAGAGGATTTTAAGGGATTTTAAAACAAAATTAAGCAGTTTTATTCTCCAAAATATTATCGGGATTGGCCCTTTAACTTCCTTTTCGTATCGATTTTGGCTTGTATATAGCGTGATGTCGCCTGACATTTTGTCGTAAGTTCTACTTTTCGACTTTTAGACGTTCTTGTTTTGGACGGCGAAAAGTAGAAAATACGAATGGTAGCAGCAGGCTTCTATAGTCACTGGAGGTCACTTATTCAATTTAAACGAATATATTGTTTTATTTCCGTATCAAATATAATAAGATATGGTATTACATATGCCCAAATTATGCAATTAATTAACTTGACGCAATATTTATTCACTAATTCAGGCTACCGTTTGTATTAATAATCTAATGGTTTAGATTGGCGACAAATGGTTTTATATTCCGGATAATAAATATTTTGATGTTTCTAACGTGGTTACCTAGGACTATTTTCTCTTGGTCAAATTGCGACGTTACAAACCGCACGTGTAAGCTCAAAATATGTGCTTTTAGAGGGCGCTGATGAATCACGTGATCTCCTATTTCTGACGTCACGGTAAATAAACCAAAACATCAACAAAGTATCGTGTCGGATTGTAGTACGATTGTCAAAATAGTCAAAGGGTTTTCCTTGTTAAAACGTTGGATATCTGGTGAATATTTTAGATATGGCGTCCGCACAGAAACCCGAAACATCAGAAGAACTAAATGGTAAGTCACCAGCTTCTATATTTATCTCATAATAAGGTATTTTCTAGAACTAGGCCATTGTTTAATTTGGCGTCTGTGGTGGGGTAGCTTACAGAAATGCGCGTGATTGGTCAATAGGTCTGGCACTTTTAATGGCACATGCTAAGCATGCTAAAGTCAGACCAGATTGAATAGATGAATACTGGTCAAAAAATGAATTGTTTTTCATTTTTTTACAAGGTCAACTGTTTTATTTATTTAGACACGCATTAAATTAAAGGGTGTATCTCATCTATCGACATCGTCGATCGTATTATTTGTAAAATAATGAGGCCAGCTTGACACCAACGCACAGTGACAGGTATCTTCATCAGTTCTGACGTGAACATGTTTCCTACGACCTGCTAAACAACTACTTGTATATATATATATATAAAATTGTGTATACTATTAAAAAATGAATATAGAAAAATTTATGCTGATGATAGACGAAGGTAATCATACAGATAAGCCAAATTCGAGATAGGCCTATTGCGATTGGCCCCAGGATATTTTCAATAGAAATAAATCAGTGACTGAGTGAGTGTGAGACAAAAATAGAAATATAGCCTATTAATAAAACAGTTATTACTTTTTAACATCAATAAAATTAAATACCTTTCATACAGAGTAAGCAAGACAACAGAAATCTGTGAATAAAATATTTGTATTGGAAAGAACTACTACTATAGGCTAGCCTACATGTAGAAAATAGAAATTAAAAAAAATAGGCTGGGGCTATTTGCCACATGTGGTAAGACAATCCGGAGACTATTTGCCACATGTGACAAGTCTCATTTCATGTGGCACGGCTACAGACCACAATTATCAACCGATTTCAATGAAACTTACAGATTATAATAAGAGTATTAATATCTCAAACTAGCTTTCGGCCACTTCCGGTTAACGGTTTCCGAGATATTAGGTTACCACACATTTCATGTGGCACGGCTACAGACCATAATTATCAACCGATTTCAATGAAACTTACAGATTATAATAAGAGTATTAAGAGCTCAAACTAGCCAAAATTTCGGCCACTTCCGGTTAGCGGTTTACGAGATATCAGGTTACCACACATTTCATGTGGCACGGCTACAGACCACAATTATCAACCGATTTCAATGAAACTTACAGATTATAATAAGAGTATTAAGAGCTCAAACTAGCCAAAATTTCGGCCACTTCCGGTTAGCGGTTTCCGAGATATCAGGTTACCACACATTTCATGTGGCACGGCTACAGACCACAATTATTAACTGATTTCAATGAAACTTACAGATTATAATAAGAGTATTAATATCTCAAACTAGCCAAAATTTCGGCCACTTCCGGTTAACGGTTTCCGAGATATCAGGTTACCACACATTTCATGTGGCACGGCTACAGACCACAATAATCAACCGATTTCAATGAAACTTACAGATTATAATAAGAGTTTTAAGAGCTCAAACTAGCCAAAATTTCGGCCACTTCCGGTTAGCGGTTTCCGAGATATCAGGTTACCACACATTTCATGTGGCACGGCTACAGACCACAATTATCAACCGATTTTAATGAAACTTACAGATTATAATAACATTAATATCTCAAACTAGCCAAAATTTCGGCCACTTCCGGTTAGCGGTTTCCGAGATATCAGGTTACCACACATTTCATGTGGCACGGCTACAGACCACAATTATCAACCGATTTTAATGAAACTTACAGATTATAATAACATTAATAATATCTCAAACTAGCCAAAATTTCGGCCACTTCCGGTTAGCGGTTTACGAGATATCAGGTTACCACACATTTCATGTGGCACGGCTACAGACCACAATTATCACCCGATTTCAATGAAACTTACAGATTATAATAAGAGTATTAATATCTCAAACTAGCCAAAATTTCGGCCACTTCCGGTTAACGGTTTCCGAGATATCAGGTTACCACACATTTCATGTGGCACGGCTACAGACCACAATTATCAACCGATTTCAATGAAACTTACAGATTATAATAAGAGTATTAAGAGCTCAAACTAGCCAAAATTTCGGCCACTTCCGGTTAGCGGTTTACGAGATATCAGGTTACCACACATTTCATGTGGCACGGCTACAGACCACAATTATCAACCGATTTCAATGAAACTTAGAGATTATAATAAGAGTATTAATATCTCAAACTAGCCAAAATTTCGGCCCCTTCCGGTTAGCGGTTTCCGAGATATCAGGTTACCACACATTTCATGTGGCACGGCTACAGACCACAATTATCAACCGATTTTAACGAAACTTACAGATTATAATAACATTAATAATATCTCAAACTAGCCAAAATCTGTAAGTTTCATTGAAATCGGTTGATAATTGTGGTCTGTAGCCGTGCCACATGAATTGTGTGGTAACCTGATATCTCGGAAACCGCTAACCGGAAGTGGCCGAAATTTTGGCTAGTTTGAGATATCATTAATGTTATTATAAGCTGTACGTTTCATTGAAATCGGTTGATAATTGTGGTCTGTAGCCGTGCCACATAAAATGTGTGGTAACCTGATATCTCGGAAACCGCTAACCGGAAGTGGCCGAAATTTTGGCTATTTTGAGATATTATTAATGTTATTATAATCTGTAAGTTTCATTGAAATCGGTTAATAATTGTGGTCTGTAGCCGCAGGGCTATTTTGACATTCTTGCTTACCACATGTGGCAAATAGCCACTGCCAAAAAAATATGGTACTGGTCAATTGCAATTTTCTAACAATTATCCACCCTGTCATAAGTATATAAATTTAAGGCTCACTCTAATTTTTTAAAATCAAAATGTATTTTCTTCCAGTTTAAAACAAAGTATATACCTATTTTACTACTGTGCACAGAAATTCCTCTCAGATAGGGGGGGTTGGATGGCTGAATGGTTAGCGTGCGCGCGCTGTATCATAAAGTCTGTCATTGAGTCGACTGGCGTTGTTTCGAATCCCCGGTTGTACATGGCAAGGAGTAGGGTCGCCTGTCCAACCTCGTGGGTTTTATCCGGGTCCTCCGGTTTCCTCCCACTGCTAAAGACCCCTACGCGCAAGCGAATTATGTAAATAAAATTAAACCATATGTTAGTCCCGAAATGACCTGGTTTGTGTCGAGTGGACGTTAAACCCCATTTCTCTCTCTCTCTCTCCTCTCAGATAGCCAATCTGTTTAAATCAATAAACAGGTTTTATACACTTTTCACCCAACTTGTATCTTGGTTATGTGTTGAACTGTATTTGACCTGTCCTATGTGATGCTTGGTTTGTATTGTAACACTACAATTGCAAAAACTGTACTTGTTAGTTAGGAAACATATATAAGAATATAAGCTAACATTCTAAGGGGTAATCAAAGACCAAGAGATGATAAAGCTAAAATCTAGTACATATAATAAATACATGTAAGAAACTGTCAAAATCATATTATAGGTAGGGTAGTTTAAAGTAGTATCTAATATGTATTGTTTAATGGTCGAGAGCGAGACATTAAGTATTGTAACAACACGAGGGCCGTGGTCTTAAGCTCGAGACCATTAAACAACTTAAAATACAGACACTTGCACATGCTTTGCACTGAAATACGTCACTCGAGTTCAATATTTTACCAAATTACGCTTGGCACATTGCCCGTACGATTATTTGAAATAATGGTACTCCAACATCAAAGGATGACGTCACATCTGTATTTTAAGTAGTGTTAATACTAGAAGAATGAGCATAATTTGAAGCTTGGAGTTGGTAATCACTAATATCAGGCAATAATGCATGTAAGTTTATAAAGGAATAAAAATGGGACAACCTTTATGGGTTGTGGGGCTGTGGGCATATATGTTTCATTGCCTGGCTGCCCATTTTTACATGCACACATTTTCATGTGGACGTATTATGCCGTCGGTCCACAATTTTTATCCGATTTTGACAAAAACTTGAAATATAGGTCTATCTCCCAAATATCTCGGTTCCTTTCAATATTGGCATATATCGAACCATAACTTCATAGATTATGACCCATGATTGTACGAAATATCACATTTTTAGCTTGTGGACTCTGTAGAGGCCACAATTTTGATCCAATTATGTTTATATCACAAAGACAAATTGATTCCTTTTAATAATTGCACATATTCAAACATAATTTCCTGGATTATGGCCCACGATTGTTCGAAAAATCTCATTTTTAGCTTGTGGACCCGCTAAAAGTCACAATTTGTATTCAATTTTAAAAAACGTTTAAATATATCACCGTTACACATTGTCATGATGATTAAGTTCAAATTTCGTAAAAAAAGCTGACTGAAACTGCCCTACAAAATGTCCACTCTTTGTATGCAAATTGAAATAGTGTAAAAGAATGTAAGACCAGCGTTGTGGACACTCTAGAAGTAGAAGTCACAATTTTTGTATGTGAAATGTATGTTTATAATCCCAAGTTCTTGGTTCCTTTCGATGCTCGTGCATATTGGACCGTAACTTCCTCAGACTGGATTATGACCCTGGATTGTACGGAAAATCACGTTTTTAGCTTGTGGACCCTCTAGAGGTCACAATTTTTATCTGATTTTAAATGTATCACCGTTCCACCATAATGACAGTTAAGTTTGAATTTTGTGAAAATCGGACCATAACGCCTGACAAAATGGATGCTCCTTGTACGCAAATAGTGTGGACCCTCTAGAGGTCAAAATTTTAATCAGATTTTGATGAAACCTAAAATATATGTTTAAGTGACAAAAGTCTTATTTTCTTTCGATAGTTGCGCATATCAGACTGGTCATAACTTCATAGGTTATGGCCTCTGATTATACGAAAAATCGCATAGGCCTATTAAGCTTGTAGACCCTGGCCTCTAGAGGTCACAACTTTTATTTGATTTTGAAAACCATTTAAATATATCACCACTACACCATAAGGATGGTTGAGTTCCAATTTCGTAAAAATCGGATCGAAACTGCCTGACAAAATGGTTGCTCCTTTTGTATGCAAATAGTGTACAAGTGTATGTAATAGTAAGGTTGTGCACCCCCTAGAGGTCACTAACTAATTTTGATGAAACTTAAAGTTTATATCTCGAATATCTAGGTTCCTGTTGATATTCATGCATATCGGGTAGCTTCTTTTTTTGAGCTTGTTTTCTGTCCATCTCTTGCAAAATGTGGGCGTATCTTACATGGCAACCGCTTTTTACTTCTTTTGTGATTGATGCAAGGCAGGGTAAACTTAGAGCAATAACGGATGGCTTTGCTGCTGGTGGGCGTATTACATGTAACGGTAAATGTAGGCAACCCGGTAAGGCATGTTTAAATACTGTATACATGTATGTACATGTACACAAAGCACATATTCTCCAAATAACAGAATGGGATAGTTAGAGAAATGGGTTTTAAAACCCATTTGACATAAACTTGGTAGTCATTTCAATAATTTTCCTGCACTTAGGGTTCTTTAGCAGTGGAAGGAATCTGGAAATGAAATGAAATGGGGTTTAACGTCCTACTGTTCTGCTCCAACTGGGCTAATATAATGAAGATGGGGGAGGAATCTGGAGAACCTGGAGAAAATCCATGCAGTGTAACTGATTGCCCTACTTCTTGTCACTTTTATAAGCTTAGGATCCAAATAACACCAAAAGGGTAAAAAAGGACTTCTTTAATTAGCCTGTCTTTACCTCAATTATTAGAAATAACATAACATATGTTATGATGTAGGTCAGTGCTGTCTGAAAAAATTACAGTTTTAAATGAAATGGTGAACTTTTATGATGTGTTGATAAAAAAACTAATGATACACTTGTTGATGCTTATTGATTTTATTTATTTCTTACAAATAGTTGACCTATTTGCTCAGGCTACTCATTAACTGTTTTTAACTTGTTCTACTTACATAAATTAACTATTTTTAGGTCAACTAACACAGTAACAATGAGCTGATAATATAAGTACATTTGCATAAGGCTATGTAAGCAAGAGACGGGGGGGGGGGGGGGGTAAATATTGTTTGTTAAAAGACCACATATTCATTTGTACCTTGGGTCAGGACTCAGGAAATGGTGTTCTTGTCTTATTCGATTGGTACTTGACTCTCAGACTATCTTACAAATAGTTGTGTTGGATTTCTAAACTAGAAAATTTCATTGATCAATTGGATTTGTAAATCAGTATAATGTGTAGTGTGCGCACTAAATAATTAAGATATTATCTAGATTTTGAGTCAGGTAGCAATAAAATACATGTACCAATATTCGGTCTTATAATAAATTATCGAAAAAGGTTAAATGAGTAGTAAAATTAAAATCCATTGTAATAAGACCTAGACATACATGTACTTAAAGTTATGATGTGTGTCATTTGCATTTTTTGCTAAAATATCAAGATGTTAAAGCACATTTCATTTCTAAAATATCATATTTTTCTCGGCTTAAAATCCACGCTAATATGTACTCAGATTAACTATTTAACATTTAATTAAGAAAACAAAATCAAAATTCCAGTGCTAATCTCTTGGCTTGGATTCAGTTGGATTTAAAAAAGGCCTATCAATAATTTTTTGCAGACAACATAATGGAGACAGGCTAATAATATTACCTGCATGTAGTGAACAGCACAGATCAGTGGAATTTCAATTCCACATATCTTTGTAAATACCGGTACTGGAAGAAATTTAACCATTTGATATTCATATTAATTAGAGATTCAGTTTCACAATAATAATGTTGTTAGCAAGTGATTCTTATAAAATTATACATCAATACTTTAAATGACTACAACAAAGTTTTCCAAGGTGCCTTTTGGGGACATCGATGCTAAAATAAAATCTGAAATTGAAAAAATGTGAGTCTTTCTATGGGGTGGTGAAAACTACATGTACATTAGTCATTAGTGAAGGTACAGTAGAAAGCATACAAAATAAATCAATTTTGCTGACTGTCATATTATATTTAGAGTAGTTTTCCTATTTACCATCTGTCATGTATTAAAATGTAACTATTGTTGTTGATTATTGTATGATAAACATGGTACTTGTGTACTTGTTGATAATGAGATAAGCAGCATGACCTTGGTGTATTACATAACGCAACTTGTGTAATCATTTCTCTTGCAGGAACTAATTGATTGACAAAAAATTAGTTGAATGTTGCTTTGTGTTTTTTTTTTCCTTTTTTGTTGAATGAATTTATCATCATACTATAGCCATCATGCACATATTTGTAAACATGTTTATGTTGTTTTTCCTGTATTTTAGGCAACTTACATGCTGTTAGGCATTAGTATACTAAAACCAAAAATTCTTAATAAAAGCTTAATAATACTGCCATACAAGTATTAGATTATCCATCTTCATTAGCCCAGTCGATGCAAAAAAGTAGGACGTCCAACCCCATTTTACTTCATTTTATTTTCGTATTAGATTACACATCTATACATGTACATGTATGTGAATGATGATTCTTATTTATGCATGACTAAATACCCTGAATGGCAATATGTGCGGAATGTACATCTAAATCTTTTGAAAGTCAGAAAGTATGATTGGGCGATATTAAACAAACCCTATTGCGAATGTATTTATTTATCACGATATTGTTTAAGGTAGTAAACTTATTTAAATAAAAAAAGTGGAAATTTTACCATTAATCATACAGTACATTTATGTATTGGCGATATATCACACTATTGACAGATCTTTGCTTCCATAGTATTAAAGATACATTATGGGAGATTAGATAAAGAGCTGGCAGTTCTCACTATAATAGTTTAAAACTAGATACTGCAATGTAAAGGGAATTTGCTGAAAATTTCAGTCAAATTGATCCACTTTTCCGCCTAGCCTCGCTCATCATTACTTAAGTAGGTAGGATATAAAACATAGTCTCAATTATCCACTTAATAATTAAATTATGAATGAAAGTCAAACAGCAAATCGGAACTTAATCCAATAAACATTGTAGGTTAGCAATGCCGTCAAGAGTTAATTATGGTCTCTTAAGTTAATTAATGTCTAATTAATAATTTAGATAAAATTTCAGGCCTAAAGAAAGACCTGCAATAGGCAGATTTAGCTCTTGCATAATGTATGTTTAGGTCAGTTTTTTAAATAGCTCATGACAATGACATTTTAGCATTTCACATTTATGTGGCATGTGATTCGTCAAAAGTACTGAGTAGATCTGAACTGTGAAATTTCTTAGCTCAATGTTAATAATTATGATCATTTTCAATTTTCACCCAATTCTTTTAGCTTTAGCTCTCAATATTGATATTAACTATTTTGTATTTTACCATGAAAACTTTGTCTTTTATGTTATTTCAGAATCATGGGTGGAGTTGCAACAAAACCCTTCGATGGTTTCCTCGTTGCAAGGTGATCTACCACACTCACAATCTTCATACAATGGAAATCTAGAAAAATTGCTTATTGAAGCTCAGCGAGAATCCAGAACACCATCTCGACCAAACAGTAAAGAATCCTCCACTCGAGGAAGGTAATAGAATATTGTGTGCAATAAATGAAATGGAGTTTTATGGCACCTCGGCTCTAACTGGGCTATATATATTGCATCAAACAACAAATTAGAAACTTACCAATCCTGAGCTAGTTTTTTAAGATGTGGTTATATCAACATTCACTGTATGTGAGAATTAGTTGTACAAAGCCTTCCTAATCAGCCCCCACAATAATATGGAAATGTGTTCAATAATTTGAAAATTAGTTCCCTGGTTCCCCAATATAGATTTTTTTGCAAAATCTAATGTCTAATTTGTCTAAAAACGGAATTTATGCTGAAGCCCAAGAATTTAGTTACTTTGTTGAATAATTAAAAGTTAAAACATATTAGGAAGGTTTGAAAATCTTTAAAATGGCGAAATGTACGATAATCAAATGTCAATGTTTAAAATGGAGAAATGTAAAATATTTAATCAAATGTCAATATACATGTAAATATTGCTTTAAAGATGGGTTCCCGCGTACAAACTGGGTGATTTAATTGATGTATATATGGACTAAAAACATATTCAAACTAATTAATTTGTCATAACTTTGCTTCAAATCCTTCTCAAACATTGTAATTGCGAAGGAATGTCCTGCTACAAAAATTCTATCAAACCAGGTCATGTTTACATCACGTGACTTACCTCTCTTGGAAGTCAGAGGAGAATTCATTATCAACTTGTACATCAAGCGCTCAATGTTCGCGTGTGACCTTTGACATCACGCCAACAGCAATTCCTAATCGTCGGGCTGTTGATTAGGGGAACTCTTACATATTTGTCCTGTATACGCTCCATGAGTGTTTTTCGGGGAATCCAGTATTTTTCTAGTAAGATTGGATATCTCTACTTTCCATATATACCAAAATTACCATACTTTTATTGGAAATAACCACCCGATAAATACTTTTCTGGGAACCCATCTTTGACACATGGTGATAAATAATTAAAAAATAATTATTTATTTACAGTCCCAAAAGTCCACACAGTCCAAATAATGAATGGGTTGGAGACTGGAGAGAAAAACAGGTACATGTATGCTATATTTTTAAATGTGTTTAAGAACCTATACATGTAGCTGCATATGGTAACTGTAGGGAATTTGTCTTACAGATATTATTACCTGTACATTTTACACTTATGATCAAAATAATTTGAGAATATGAAAATAAAATTCGGCAACTTTAGTCTTTTCAGCTCAAGACAGTTGATCGAAAAGAATGTGATATTTATGTAGTAGGTCAAGTTAATCATGATCTGGATATAATATAAAAATACCACACCCATCCATGGTCTATATATAACACTTGTATATAAACATGACTTTATAAATTGAATTAAATGTAGTAGTTAAAATTTCATGTCTTTTTGATATGGTTCATGATATATAGGATTATAGTGTTACAAGCTAGCTCTGAAAAGATTTATAAACCCAGAGAAAGCTGATGTCTCTAGTACTTAGAATATCTCTTAATTTTCAAGTACACAGTATGTATGGTAAGAGGTGAGCACAGAAGTTCTTTTCTTATTTGAGAGCAAATTCTTGCAAGGAATCCCTAGGCCCCAGAGAAAACTCTGTTTTCTACTCTGTGATGAGTCACTGCTTATTTTATCTGGTCAATTTTTAAAATGGTGTATATTGTCATAAACCCTGTCCGTGCATGGTGGGGGGTTGGATGGCATGGTTTCGATTCCCCGGTTGTACGTGAAAAGGAGTAGGGTCGTCTGTCCAACCTCGTGGGTTTTCTCCGGGTCCTCCTAAAAACCCCTACGCGCAAGCGAATTATGAAAATAAAATAGAACCATATGTTAGTCCTGAAATGACCTAGTTTGTGTAGTGTGGACGTTAAACCCCATTTCTCTCTCTCTCTGTCAGTGCGTTTATACACTGTTTATATTCATGAGACGAATGTCTTGGAATTACTTCCAGAGTAATGAACATATTCCTTAAAATTATGTCATTATTGTAAATTGAAAGGAATAAAACATCCTTCAAATGAGTACCAGCGAGTTTAAAACACTATCACAGTCATAACCTACCTCAATGTCAATGACATCATAAACAAAATTGAAAACTGTAATGATGACAGTCTACATTCATTTCCTAAACCAGTATATCTTTGACCAATTTTAATTACCAAGTAGCATGTTTCTCTATGTTCTGTGGTTGTATATTGTTGTTACCCCCCCGGCAGTCAGTACACAGTGTTTATGGTCATAAGGCGTAGAAGCCTTTAGATTTTCAACGATTTCCGATTAGTACTTCTGGAGTTATTGCCTTTAATCACTTTAAAAAATCTTGTGGACGTAATAAAGGCTAAAGTTATTATCCGATTAACAAAAAACTCATACACATTGTTAATGGTCATAGGACAAAGAAGTCGATTGATTTTAAGCAATTTCTGATAATTATTGCAAGAAATGGCTCTAGAAGATTGACTTTAAATTTATTTATACACAGTGTTTATGCTCAGATGTCTTCTCCGGTATTCACATAGATTTCGTTTCCTGGCTAACTATCTTTGATTATATTATTTCATTATACTATACTGTATGTTATCAAATTAGTAATGTTGTAAATGATATTTCAGGACCCAGGAACTGATTGGATATGGGACTGGTCAAGCCGTCCAGAAATTCAGCCAAATAGGTAATAAACTTTGATGTGCACTGCGAACTATTAGTATTATTTTTGATATTTCAGATTTTTAAAAAATAAAACATTTCAAGCAATTAGATCACCAAATCTTTCCTTATAATAATATATCAAATCAATCTGATTGGAACAAGTATTAGGTATGTCTACAGTCCGACCGGTTAAAAGCAAAAACAAATGTGTATAGTACAATAATATTTTATTTTAATAGTGGTTACGAATGATACACTTCAAATTTTTATCATTTCAGTGATTGGACGGGAAGGTTCAAACATCCCACAGCAAAACCAGGTCGACATGGACTAAGTGTGCGTCATACACGAGTTATGAAAAATGGCGTATTTAGTATTGAAAATCTACCTACGTTGCTCTTGACACATGCCTGCACATTTTTCTTAGGCGCAGCAATGTAAGTAGTAATCAAAGATTGATTTATGAAGTATTAAAACTGAATCTGATTTGAAAAATATAAAAAATTAGTGGCAAAGTTGGATAAGGAATTTCAATATTATTCATTCAGTGACCAAAATAGTTCTGTTTTCATTAATGCCTCCTTTTGCATGTTTTGATCAATCAGAACTGTCTTGATTGCTTCGCTTATTCAAGTAAGCTTCAACTTAAATGGTTTCTTTTGAAAAATGAAATGGGGTTTAATGTCTTACTGTTCTGCTCTGACTGGGCATATGGAATACAGTGTGCTATTAGAGAAATTGTGTCCGGACAGTGGCACTACGGTCTACTCATATATCAAATTCCAACTGCCAAGGGTTCTTGTATATGCATGCCAATGTGTATACACAGATCCTCATTTTTTCATATCATCTGAACAACTGCATGTATGATACATTGTACCTTGCCAGGCCTGAAGGTCGTCTGTCAAGGTGGAGCCATTTTGTAAAATCCAGATGAACTTTGTCGACCAACACCGAGATCAAACAACAGGACCATCAGGTTAGCCACTCACTGAGCCACCACAGATCCCGGACTTTGCATGAGGCAGTGAATCCTAAAACTCTCGTAACTAATATTAACCGCTGTCTGTTCACAATCTACTACGTAAAAAACGATTGTCATTGAAGTAGTGTATTGCAAAATGTAGCAATTGCGTATGCTTACTATTTATAGAACACTTGATACCACTTCTCTAAATTTATTCAGCAAGATCTGTTGTACTTTTGTTGGGTGTCCCCACACAGCCAGAAATGAGCTATAATAAAAGCTGAACGTCAGTGAATGTTCAATGTCAACTGACAATTTCTAGACTGCATAACAGCTACCATGTATTGCATACAGTACATTAATCAGCAGTAATCATCAAGAAATATTTATTGGGGGGCAGTCTGACTTTAGCATTATTAATTGTTGTTCTAATTTGAATTCAAATTTCTGTTTGATAGGATGTTGATATATGTAAAGAAGTATTGTAACTGGGCAGTGGTCACTGCCACCCTAGATTGACTGAGTTGAAGAGGGATGATGATGGGAAGAACTGAATGGTAGCATGAATGTGAATGCATGTCATATTTCTACATGTTGTTTGGGCAAACTAAAGACCTTTTGATTATTATATTCGACACTGTTATTTATTTTACTTTTAAACAGCTAACTTTAATAAGATGCTTTCTATGTACATGTAGTCATGTAATCAATTATTTTATTTGAAGATGGCATATTAAATGTCTTTAGCATGTGCATGTACATTTCGAGGTTTTCGGGAAGGATGTAAAATTAAAGTACATCGAAAATGATCTTTTATTTATACATATTCATCATCTTTTACTTTAAATGGAAATGTGCAATTTACTGTAATTAAGAAAAAATAATTATGTTCAATGTTATATATGTATGTCATATTATATATATCTATTTTAATAAGTTCTAGTAGCTTGTAATTAAATATAAACACATATATGTGAACTGTTTGTTTTAAACCATTTAGAAAATATTACAATAGATATAGCTGCTTTAATAATTGGAAAAGATTAAATTTACTGATATATTATCAAGCTCTAGACATTTTTTTATTAAAGAAAAATAGATAAGTAATGTTGAATGTATTACAACAGATTAGATAATGGTTAAAACAGTTTATTTGTCTCAGCAATTATTTTTTTCTTTTCCTCTTTATTAAAAAGAGTCATAAATTGTCCTTTATTTATAAATTAAAATCAAGTTGTGGTGTGGATTTTTTCCATCTAAAAAATACGCCCAGTAGAAATTTTGATATGAAAATGATGCAAGGCTCGGATTTGTATGTGAACATTTATTTTTGATGTTGAAGTGAACTACATTGGATTATTAATATCATTTGTAATTGAATGTATGAGACTATAGAATTACATGTCTTTTTGAGTGACATGGTTGAAAGCAAATTGCTAACAACAATATTAGGAATTCCATATTTACCAATAAAAAAATACAAGCTTTTAACCGAATTTTGTATAAAATCTATATTAATTGAGGAATAGCACATATTATATCCATTTGAATAGAAACATAGATTTTCCAGTTATTATTCTGTGCTACTTTTAATATAGTTGCACAATAAGAAAATTAAGATGCCAAAAAACTTCAGCTTAAATTGAAGCTATTTATGGCCTGAATTGGATCTCTTAAATGGCTATCTATATGGTTATTAAGACTATGTGATTGGAATTTTATACTAGTTAATCATTTGGGTAGTGATTGTCGTACAGTGATTGGTAACTAAAAGAGACCCTATTTAATTATAATAAAGAATCACGTAATTATGCTGCTATTTATGAGTAGGTCTCTTCTGTAACAGGTTTTTGACTAGAGATCTCTGTGTATTTATTGTCGTCTGTGACACCAGGGAATATTACTAGTAATCTATTATATTATATAATAAAAATGGATGCAATAGTCACAGAATTCTAGTCTAACAATGACAATTAAACAATTTATACATAATTTTATGTATCAACATTTACTTAACATGTTTATATTAATCTAAAACATATTTAACAGTGTTCATTATTTTATGCTTGTACATATGTTTGCTTTTTATAAAATAAAGCAGAATCTGTAAACCATGGTACTGATGTTTTTAAAATTGTGGATATACGATAATTTTAAAGATTTAGTAGATAACTTAAATGTTTACCAAAGATCACTATTATTTCTTATGTGCACCTGTCTTCAAAGCTAAACTTAGGACCATGCAGTCTTTCACACAAAAAGTTTTGTGGTCAATATATTCATTAATGAATAGGTATGGAAATATTGCAGTGGCATATGCTTCAGCAGTTGGATGTAGAATTATTATATAGGAGTGAAATTATAACAAAGGAACCTGCCGTGTTCAGTTTTATTAAGAAACCATCAATTCTTTTAATAGTGAATATTCCATATTAATGGAAGTTAATGATTCAGTTGTGATATGTACAATTTACCTACACAAAAAATATTAATGTGAGCATTTGTGATGTTAAATTTATGTGTAAAATGTTTCTGTATTGGTGCTGGGGAAATATACATGTTTAGAATTAGCTCTTTGTTTCATCAATCATAACATATTGTTGTTTTTTCGAGATTTGCTCTGTGTAGATCCTGCATGTCTTACTTATGATTAAAACATATCATTGATGTGTTATTTTGGCTTCCGAGTTCCATTATTTTATCTCACATTCTTTAATAGTTTGACATTGTCACCATCTGGGTTAATTGGTTGGACTTTCATCCTACAAATTCTGTAATGTTTACAATTCTTATTTTTGAAAAACCAAGATGTTGGTGTAGCTACACATCTGACCATGCTGGCTGTAACCTATGATTATCAGGTTAAAGGACCAATCTCGATTATATTTTGGATAAAACCAGACTTTTATTTCATAAAAATTACAAACCTGGCCCATGTGCCATTTTTTCATCTCTTTTCCAAGAGAACAAACCTGGTTTGTGGCTAGGTAAAAAAGGTGACAATACGGGGACCTTTATTGCATTGAGAATGCTTCAATGAAATGCACGATACTTTTGTTTACCATTTACTTTTCTCGTCACAAAATGTATTACAATTACCTGCGAGTCACTCTGAAAGATAAAAATCGCAATAAATTGGCATAAATGCATGTAGATTCGTCTGGGGCGTTGCAGGATGTCGAGGGGCCCGAAAAATCTTGAAGCCTCGGGCACCTGCCATGGGTTAATGCAACACTGATGGTCCCCTCATATTCCCGAAGCAATGACCCAAGAAATCCCTTGCGTGGGATTAGGTCTAATCAACGAGCAGTATGGGTACCCTTTGAAAAACGACTGATTTTACATAAAATGCCATTTTACACGATCATACATTAAATTTTGTTCAAAAATAATTAAACATCATCAAACATTTGTATGATTGATGATGTTTCCTGGGCCCGTAGCCACAGGGTGGCTATGGGGTGGCTAAGCTCCCCCCCCCCCCCCAAATATTTTGCCGACAATAATGATTTTTTAGGAGTGTTCTAATTGGTAGGCGAACCATAGGCTCGTAGCATGGTCCACCATGGCCTACCTGTCATGTAAGGATAATCACAAAATCGACGAATAAGGTAAGCCGCTATATGCTGATTATATCTGAATGGCCAGCGCCAGCATGAATCGCTTTGTTTTGGTTACGTGCGTTGCTACGATACCAAGTGCCCATCTGTGCCAATCATTCATTGATTCACGCAAATTTCAAACTGCACGGGTTATTAGGAAGGGGTTGTCCACCTCATTACGCTATATAGGAAGGAGAAATAGTTCAAAATTAGCTCAAGCTCTTGATGGTACCAGAAGCAGCATAATTTATCGCCATTTTCCTGGGACCTGCCCTTTTATACCCGGGTTACGGGGTTTAAAAGAGGCCCTGGTTTATTTGTTCGCCTACAAGGCACCGGTTCAAATGTTTGCATTTGCCTACACCCGATGTAGGGTGCCTACTAGTTACTTTAGTAACTAGGTGCCTACAATGTAGGTGCCTATTATGTCTAACATAAGGTGCCTATTGTGCAGCCTATACTGTAATTCTATGAATAGAATAAAAGAATACCTATCGTTCACTTGAAATTTGATACTACAGCTGTATTGCCCAGCCTAGAGTTTTCCGCGTAAATCAAAAGACTGCACCCTCTAACTACCCTCAAGATGATATCGGCGGGAGGAGTCGAGGAAGGAAATTTCAGCCATAAAACCCTGTCTGAGGCACTTTAATTTGAGGCCCAGGAATGCACTCAGATGCGAGGAGAGGGTAGACCTACCAAATTTTCAAAATTTTCTGGGGGAGGACCCCCAAAAACCGGGCCCTTGCTCGAGCCTTTGGAGCTTCGCGGTGGACGGCTTAGCCGGACATATCCTCAGCCCCCCAAAACAATTCCATTGCAACACCACGGGCCCGATGTTTTCACTTGTTCAAGGTGACTAGATGTGCCATAAAACATCAGTTTACACCACACAACATTCTTAAACATTTTTGGAGGGAAATATAACTTTTGCGTCATGGATTCCCAAAGAAGGATGCTTACTATTGAAGCTGCAACATACATAATCCTGTTGCCAGTGTTGGTGATTCGGCGTTTCTACGTTTATTCTCGTGCTTCATGTCCTAGTTTGTGCGCACTTAGCCTAGAAGTGCACGCTCTCACTTTTAAATAAATATTTTTCCGTTGCATATGACCATTCTTTTTAAAACACCTAGTTACCCAACGTTGTAGTTGTGATCGAGTTATGTATTCGCCAGAAATTTAAAGAGTTTTCCAGATGGTAATGGGTCAGTCAAAAAAAAAAGACGTGTATTCTAGAGTACGGTACTTCCCATAACTTTAAAATAGTACTTCCCGTAACATCCACAAGAACGCGATATTTAGTAATTGTCAATTGCATCTTAAATACTGTAACAAACGCAAAATAGGTAACACCATCAAATTTCTTGTAAAACAATCATAATATATAGCAAGCTCAACCATTTATTATACACACGAATATAAATCGTACTTTCTAATGCTAGAAGTAAACATTTTCTTCCATTTTATATCAACACTGAATTATTATAATCTAATATCAAATAGAAAGCATGAATGGTTTCCATTGTAAACCGGTGTCTGTTAAATGGATATTACTTGGGAAGCTAGATGAAGGCAGTGCTGGATTAACCATTGTGGGGGCCCTGCAGGGGCCTTGAGAATGTGCCCCCCCCCCCGGACACACACACCCACACCTAACACAAGTGGCCAGAACTTCAGGGGCGGATCCAGAGGGGGGGGGGGGTCGACCCCTGCTCAGCTACATAAATTTTTTTGTAAATCAAAACTTTTTATGAGAAAAGTTTGTCGACCGTGTGCTGTATCCTTTATCGTCAGATGGTCACTCAAAGCACGAGATAATGATATAGACATTATGTGATATCACAACTTTGCATCCATGAAATTGAATCAAATGTCATTACATTAATTCATAATAAAAATTGACGTCAAACGAGATGTTGAATTTCTCTGTTTAAAGAGCTCAATGTGTATGTATATACGCCACAATGACGATAGAGGCAATGCGAATCATAGAAATAAAATTAAACCATATGTTAGTCCCAAAATGACCTAGTTTGTGTCGAGTGGACGTTAAACCCCCTTTCTCTCTCCCTATATTATAGTGACCGACCGGAGTTGATTTTTGACGAACGTTGAACACGGCGGACCCAAAGTTAAATGCGTTTTGTTGGAACCAAAACGCGAAATATCGTACGTAATGTAGCCTATACATTACACACCATGGCCGACTCCAGATTAGGTTTAATGTAGTTCCATTCACATGTGTGGAATAATACTATGTTCTGGCCACTTGTGTTAGGTTGGGGGCCCCACATGCTCAAGGCCCCAGGGCTCCCACGATGGTTAATCCGACGTTGGATGAGCTCACTTTGTGTCTTCGATAACTTTTGGCTACCCTCGGTGGAATTTCCCTCAAAGCCACAGTAGGCCTATATGGCGTAGGCCTACATGCACGTCTTTAATTATTAGCCCAGTCGGTGCAGAACAGTAAAACGTTAAACCTTGTTTCATTTCATTTCTGTATATATTTCTGAATAAAGATCCCGTTATTTACCTCTCGAAGAGGGCAGGGCTATAAATCGACACTTTAGGCTAGTTATCCAAATTGAACGTAAAACCCTACGAGAATTGCTTGTCCGGTGAAAGCACAGGCTATAGATATACTAATTTATATACCTGTATATTATTCGAGGTAAAACTATTTTTGTGCTTTTTCAATATGGATTTAAATGATAAAATTATGGATAATAATTTAGTTCAACAAGCTGGTCCAGTGATGAGCAAGCATTTACACAGCCAATTAACTAGCTGTCAACAGAGATGTGGGAAAGGCGTCGAATCTTTTTCTATTGAACCCCAAACCAAAAACAAGAAGAACAGAAACGTCGAGTCCAATGCCATGTTACCCAATTTAATCAGGAGGAAGGTTTCAAAGGAATACTGCTGTCCTGATCCTGGACGAGTACGCCAATCAACTTGTTTCCTACATCAGTGTTCTGGTCTGTTTTATGCTCGGTAGTTTGTCCAATTAGTACGCCTGGGGAGCTAAAAAGACTAATAATGAGAACAGGATCACGAGACAAAGAAATCTGGAAAAAGATATGCGTCCTCATGGGGAATCTTAGAAATGGTTCCACCACTGCATGTCTTCCGTCCTGCCCCAGCCACAGTAGTGGACCGCCCTAAGGCCTTCCTTAAAACAAGTTTTGTAGTCATTTGACTACAAAAAAGCAAGGACCTTATATAAGGTCCACGAAAAAAGTTACTCCTATAACTATAACTCCATTAATTTCCAATTACACTGATCCCAAACTGTACTGTAGCCTACATATAGCTTAACATATAATTATAAACCAATTCCCATTGAAATAAAGGTGAAGCCTTATCCGTATAATTATATGATTTGATTAAACCCAACTGCTATGCGAAATTTAAAATGACCGCCGAACCAGAATCACGTGACTTTATGTCACTCGAAAATACAGCAAAACTGTTCGGTAAAATAAGATTAAGATTTTAGTGTTCCACTCTTCACTATTTGTAACATAATTACTTATTTCCATGCAAACTGTGATGATATGTGTTGACAGTTTTGCAATCCAGTATGTATCAATCGATTATCACGGCTACAAATATTGCAGCTAGAGAAATCTTTGTTGATCTGCCACGTGTTGAAAATGTAAATAAACAAGCCCCGATTCTCAAGACTCAAATATTATTGTATGACATTCGAGGCTATATAGTATATATCCGGAATCAATGACGTCTATTTACTAACGGCATTGTCCGGAATTATCGAACACGTCATTTTGAACAACAAGAAGGATACACGCAACTGTTTTAGTGTTTACAGACATAAATATCCTTACAGTATTTTTATACACGAAGATATGATATCCTACATTTATAGATGAAAGCTCTGAACACAACCACACGATATTTTTATGAGATCAATCCGGTTTCAATAAATACATGGTCATCATGGGGCAGGCAATGTGTAAAAATATATTATGGAAATCAAAAGAGGTCAAAATTCTTATGGTGGGTAAGTAGATCATACAGTGAATTTGTTAATTAAATGTTCATTATGGTCCCAGGCTAAACGAAAACTACCTCCCTTAGCGTCAAAATTAAGCTAATTAAAGATGCCTTCATTTGGGTGATATGATGATATAATCTATCAATAATTTGATTTAAATGAATAAATGCTTCTCAAAACATTGTATGCACGAGGAAATACCCCAAGCTATAAAAAATCTATCGTAGAATTCATTGTACATAAGACGATGTTGTCTTTAATCGCTGTCCATTTATCATAAATTCTAGGATTATCCCATGCCCACTTCTTTTACCGAAGTTTAGTGTCACAATCTGTTGTAGGCCTACGATAAGTCTCTCACTTTTTCCATGTCTGCTCACTATCATGTTTATCAACATATACATTATGCACTCCCTAATAAAAAGAGGTCAGACAATCTATGCGTGCAACGTTTGATGTCAGTGGAGCAGACAGCCCTAAATCGCCAGGCTGACAATTAATGACACCCTCTCATATTTGTCCTGTGCACTCTAAAAGGGTGTTTTTCAGGGAATTCAGTATATACCTAGTAAGATTGGGTGACTCTACTTTCCATATACCCAAATTGCCATAGTTTTATAGGAAATAACAACCCAATAAATAATTTTGTGGGAATGCATAGTTTTCTCTGTGGTCTGAAGCACCATTTCTAATGAGGTGCCTTGAACATGTGATATTAAAATGAGTTTTCCGCCATTATAGTTAATTATATATGTTACAAGTCCCTGTAGGTTACAGGTCCCTTCGTTCATTGTTAGTTCTCGTGATACGAGACATCCGGGTTATCTATTATGTTATTGTAATGGTGGCACGTCAATTAAAGTTATCAACAGTTGTCGCTGTCTGTGTTTGTCCCTGTAGTACTCCCCACTAAACTGTCGTGGTGGCTGATTGTGGATTTATTCCTTACGTCTCCGTGAACTGCAGGACTCGGCAAACAAGAAATATCATTCAACAGGCAGGTTACAGTGTACTGTAAATAGATTTCTGTTGGCTCGCGTAGAAGCGCGCCATATAATTTTTATTTTTAAGACGAACCCCCATCAATTTATCAATCAATGGCTTCAACTCGCGCCCCAAAGCAGCGTGTTTTGACAAAAGATGAAACTATCACCTCGTTCGAGGCCTGGAAACAGAACCTTACATACATTTTATCTCTAGATGACAACTTCGCCCCATTCTTCGCTCCCGATATTGTATGGTCTAAGAAAAGCAGGGATAACCCAAATCGAGGCTTTACCGACGAACGTGGGAAGACTGCAGCACAAAAGGTGGTTTTTTTAGAGCTCATGTTGGGTCAAATCGCCAATTTTTGCCCGGTGATAGCCCGCAACACCATTATTCACAAGTCTGTGAGTATAAGCTCTGTTTGGCAATCAATCCGTGCTCACTATGGATTTCAGAATAGTGGGGCACAGTTCCTTGACATCTGTGATATGAAACTAGAAATGGATGAAAAACCAGAAGACTTATTTCAGAGGCTGATCGCCTTCGTTGATGACAATCTATTAACTGTCGGATGCGGTCTTACACACTATGGAACTCAAGTTACCGAGGAGGAAATGTCTCCATCCTTAGAAAATCTGATAACAGTATTATGGCTTCGTTTAATCCACCCCGGTTTGCCCAAGCTCGTTAAGCAACGGTATGGAATCCAATTACGTACATGTACTATCGCGTCACTTAAACCAGAGATATCAATGGCCTTGTCATCCCTTTTAGAAGAGGTGGAAACTGCTGAAGAGGTTCGTTGCATGCGTATGGGTTCCCGACCACCGTTTCGCCCAGACTCCAGACTGCATAACCCCCCGCCAAGGCCACAAACCTTAAAGCCACAACGTGTTACAAAAAGATCGCCTACAATGTGTCCTCTATGCTTACAATCCAACCGAGGTTCCACTGACCATTACCTCAGTCTATGTCCATATTTGCCCGAGAGCGACAGAAAGTTTATGTCACGAGCCAGGCAGGTTATCGTCGATTCTGACGATGATGAGAACACTGATATCATTTCAGATGCCAATAATGCTGATACGCCAACTTTGTCGGTTTCATCACGAAGAGTCCAAGTCGATCAGTCTCCCTATCTTGATGCATTCTACGACCACCATGCCATCCGCATAACCGTCGACTCTGGTTCCGAAACGAATATGATAAGTCATCCTCTCGCTCTCCAGTTGGGCATTCCTGTTACTAAAAGTACACAATACGCTACTCAGGCTGATGGCCGAACATTGTTAAACGTTGTCGGAGAAACTCGCTTTGAGTTGACAAGAGACGATCATATCTTATCATTCACCGCATTAGTCGTGTCCTCTATGGATGTGGAACTACTTGGAGGAACCCCTTTCATGTCTGTCAACGATGTAGCCGTGCGACCTTCCAAGCAACACGTACTTATTGGTGGCCATATTTATCCATACGGTTCCTCTTCTCCAAAGTCAAGTCCATCGGTACGACGCACTCAAGCTTCTGTTTTAAGATCGAATACTGCTACCACTATTTGGCCTGGTAAATTCATAGAAGTAGATGTCCCAGCTGAACTCGACAACATCGACACAGTGGCCGTAGAACCCCGGCTAGATCTCTCTCCCCATCAGACCGAAGCATTATGGCCTGCTCCGTCCGTCTTACGACCGATAGGCGGAAAGTTACGTATACCTAACTCTACTGATTTACCAATCATCGTTCGCAGAAACAGCCACTTTTCTCAGGTGCTACCTGTGTATAACCCCCTGGTATCACCGAATTCAGCCAATGACATACACACACTGACCACATCCATGCCCAATCCGCCCTCATCTGCTGTTACGCTTGATCCGGATGAAATACTGTCACCTCTTGTTCACAAGCAGTTTCGCACCCTACTACGACAATACGACTCTGTTTTCAGCACAACACCCAAGGGCTATAACGGTGCATTTGGTCACTTCACCGCAAAAGTCAATATGGGTCCAGTCCTTCCACCCCAACGAAAAGGGCGTGTCCCCCAGTATGCTAAAGATAAGCTAGATGAACTACAATCCAAATTTGATGAGCTTGAGAGCATCGGAGTCTTCCGGAAACCCGAGGACCTGGATATGGTAGTCGAATACTTAAATCCGTCATTTTTGATCAAAAAGCCCAATGGTACATACAGACTGGTGACTGCGTTTGGCGAAGTCGGCAAGTATGCTAAACCACAACCATCCCTGATGCCAGATATCGATTCAACCTTACGGTCAATTGCCAGTTGGACTTACATAATTGCTACAGACTTGTCAAATGCCTTTTACCAAATTCCCTTATCCGCGGATTCTATGAAGTTTTGCGGCGTCGCTACCCCATTTAAGGGTATCCGGGTATATACTAGGTGTGCCATGGGTATGCCGGGCTCAGAGACAGCGTTAGAAGAGTTAATGTGCCGTGTGCTGGGAGATTTGATACAACAGGGATTTGTCGCCAAAATTGCCGATGATTTGTACTGTGGGGGGAATACTCCTGAAGAACTCCTAAAGAACTGGCAGGCTGTTCTCAATGCCTTACACACAGCCTCTCTCAACTTAAAGGCCTCTAAAACAATCATCGCACCGAGAAAAACTACCATTCTTGGATGGACCTGGTGTCAGGGATCTTTAACTGCAAACCCTCACAGAATCGCCACCCTATCGACGTGTGCAATCCCTAAGACTATTAAAGACTTGCGAGCCTTTATAGGTGCATACAAGTTCCTCTCACGTGTACTTCCGCAGTGTGCTAAATATTTGAGTCCACTCGATAGCCTAGTGGGAGGAGGAGCTCAGTCTAAAGATATAATCGTCTGGACGGATGACACGACTGCTTCATTCCACCTGGCACAGGCATATTTAAAAGATGCGAAGTCTATCACTTTACCAAGACCCAACGATCAGTTATGGATAGTCACAGATGGGGCAGTCAGAAGCTTTGGATTGGCCTCCACATTATACCTTATTAGAAACGACAAACTACAATTAGCTGGTTTCTACAGCGCGAAGCTCCCTGAACGAAAACATGGATGGAGTCCCTGTGAGATCGAAGCTTTATCTATTGCGGCATCCATCAAACACTTTGCTCCTTATATCATTCAGTCTGGTCACGTAGCTCAAATTCTTACCGACAGTAAGCCTTGTGTTGAGGCTTATTCCAAGTTACAAAGGGGTGAATACTCTACTAGTCCAAGAGTGACCACATTTCTATCCATTGCCAGTCGATATCAAGTTTTCATTCGCCACCTAGCCGGCAAGGTCAACATTCCGTCAGATTTTGGAAGTCGAAATGCTCCAGATTGTGAAGATATGAGTTGTCAAGTGTGCTCATTCATATCGGTTACCATGGACTCTGTTGTTCGTGCCGTGTCTGTGAAAGATATTATGAATGGATCGGTCAGGCTGCCATTTGTTAATCGCTCCATGTGGCGCCAGGCTCAGCAAGATTGTAAGGACCTGCGTCGAGTGCATGCCCACCTTGCACAGGGCACTCGACCATCAAAGAAATCTACCAATATTCATGACGTCAAACGGTACCTCAATACCGTCTCCATCGCATTAGACGGAACCCTAGTCGTTCAAAAGTCTGACCCTTTAGCTGTGACTCGAGACTTAATCGTCATCCCAAGGGACCTGATACTAGGTCTACTCACTGCGTTACACATTCGTTTGGATCACCCCTCAAGCTACCAAACACGTCTTATCGTTCGTAGATATTTCTACGCATTGGATTTAGATCAAGCCGTGGACGCTGTATCTAGAAACTGTCAACAATGTGCAGCTCTTCGCAAAATACCATCTTCTATTATTCAACAAACTAGCGAACCCCCACCTAAAGCTGTTGGAACCTATTTCGCCGCAGATGTTTTATGTCGCGCCAAACAGAAAATTCTCGTACTCCGTGAATGTGTTACCTCCAAAACTTCTGCGACCCTAGTTCCGGATGAAAAGCACCAAACTATCCGGGACGCCCTTCTCCAATTGTGCATTGAGATGGTACCAGTTGAAGGCTGTAGTATTATACGCTGTGACCCAGGCCCCTGTTTTCAAGCTATAGTTAATGACCGCTTACTGAACCAACATGGTGTTTATGTCGAACTTGGCCGAACAAAGAACATAAATAAAAACCCTGTAGCTGAACACGCCATCCAAGAAATCGAGGATGAGATCCTCCGACAGGACCCTTCAGGATCCCCCATCACCCCAGTTTTATTAAGCTGTGTCATTGCGCGCGTTAATTCTCGTCTTCGGGCCAGTGGTTTGTCGGCTAGGGAAATGTGGTGCAAGCGGGATCAAATCACCAATGAGCAGTTACTCATCGATGACAGTAATCTCATACATGCTCAACAAGTGCGACGTCACCAAAATCATCCTTACAGTGAACGGTCAAAAAACCCTCTTGGCAAGTCTGGTCCTCCACAGAACGTCCGTATTGGGGATTTAGTTTATTTATTTTGTGATCGTGATAAAAACAGGGCACGTGACAAATATATTGTCTCGGGTGTTCAGAACGGCTTTCTACAACTTCATAAGCTGAGGAACTCTCAAATCCGCTCGAAGACATACTCCGTCCATCCTACAGAGGTTTACAAGGTAAATATTTCCCCCACAGCTTGCTCCGTTGCTTCAGATGATAGCGAAGATGATACGGTCATCATTCCTTCTGTATTGACCACACCACTCGACCCGACTGCATCAGCTCAACTACCCGACCGTGGCGAGGCAGAAGCATCAAGCAGTTCGTCAGAATCTGATCTTATCGATGATACCCTGAACATCCAGACCCTGTCAAATACAGCAACAAGTGTTTCTTCTAACATACCAGGATTACCACGAAATCGTACACGCCAGTTGCCTAAAAAACTAATAGACTATGTTCTTTATTAAGACTTTTAAGTGTTTTCATGTCTAAAAGTTATTTTTAATTCCATAAATTGTTCTACAAGAAAAGGAAAAAAAGGGTCGCGCCATTATAGTTAATTATATATGTTACAAGTCCCTGTAGGTTACAGGTCCCTTCGTTCATTGTTAGTTCTCGTGATACGAGACATCCGGGTTATCTATTATGTTATTGTAATGGTGGCACGTCAATTAAAGTTATCAACAGTTGTCGCTGTCTGTGTTTGTCCCTGTAGTACTCCCCACTAAACTGTCGTTCATGGAAATTATGATTTTTTAAAGTTTATACAGATATCTGTGACATAATAAGAAAAGTCTTTATTTTTTGTAGGATTAGATGCAGCTGGGAAAACAACAATACTATATACTATAAAACTAGGTGAAGTTGTGACAACAATACCTACTATAGGTAATAAATTAAATGTATTATTCGCAGAAGTCTTTTATTATGATATAAAAATAGTTGCCCTCCAAAAACTTTTATACAGATTGGTCGTTATTAAATTTCTAGACAAATTCAAATCTCTAGAGAGACGTGGACACAACAGAACCCATGACAGTTGGAATTTGATAAGGAATATATTAGTAGAAATATCACTGTTCGATTCATTCAGATCAATTAGAGGCCAATCAAAAGGTTTTAGCAAAGATATAGGTGCCGTTAGCATGTTTCAACATGCCATTTACCGGTACATTGTTTCTGGAGGATGCCAATAAAAATCCATCAATTAAAGATTAGGGACTTTAATATACATATATATAATTTTCACTAAATAATATACTTAACTATTTTCTATGTTTTTAAAGGTTTCAATGTTGAAACAGTAGAGCATAAAAACCAGTCATTAACAGTGTGGGATGTTGGTGGAAGGGGTAAAGCGGTGAGTATATTTATGCATAATATCCTGGACAAATTTGGGGTGATAAGAAAGACTGTGCACATCAGAGCGTAAGTTCTATGATTAGTGATGTTTATTAAGTGCTTTGGTTTAAATCCAACACTTATATATGATTTCTACTGCACGCAAGTAGATCATTAAAATACAGCCATACACTCTGTTAGTCTGAAAATGACCTAGGTTGTGTCAAGTGGATGTTAAACCCTGTGTGCAGGATAGTATAAAATAACATACAGCATGAATATATTTTGCAAAAATGTGATTTATACAAGATTAGGACTCTCCAGGAATTACATTTCATTACTTTTACTATTGATAACTGATAAAATGTCATGAAATTTCCATTCATCTCTCACAAGGTTCTAACCATGCTGAATAAATTTTATGAGCAAGTACATAATTTGTGTTCTATTATTTCAGAGATTTCTCTATCGACATTATTACGCTTCAACGAATGCTGTTATATTTGTTATTGATAGTAGTGATCGTGAAAGATTAGATGAAGCATTAGAAGAATTTAACACCGTATTCTCAGAACCAGAATTATCAGACTGTACATTCCTGATATTATGTAACAAACAGGACTTGAAAAATGCTTCTACTGTTGAAGATATAATAGAGAAATTAAAATCTCATCCTTCAGAAAGTATGTACTGGTAAACTGTATGCATATTTGGTTTCCAAACACGTAGTACATGTACTGGTGTAGCCATCCCAGAACATTTGCAATATGACTGATGTTAATTCATAACATTGAGTTGATGCTATCTTTGTAACCCAATCAACAGTATTTATGAGATAAATAACATGAATGGAATCAGTCAGAAAAATTGCTCTGAAGTATAACCTAACTAAATAACGATATTATATGGTCTAGAATATGCAGAAGTTATTTACAAGAATCTACAGTACAGTACATTTCAGACAAAACAGTTTATCAATTTTTAGTACATTAACACTTTGATTTTATATAAACAAAAGCATTTTCTTTTTTGTTCCAGAAGTTGGAGTTTTTCCAGTGGTAGCACTAGACAGAAAAACTTTAAAAGAACCACTGAATTGGCTAACAGATACAGTAGCTAACAAGAAAACCAAGTCTTTAGCTGATGAGACTGTAGCACAAGCTAAAGAAATCATCAAACCAGTCTTCAGTCCATCAAACTACTTTAAACAAAGTTGGAATTATGTTAAAAGCTATTTTCCATGAATGGAATGTGAAATTTATCTACCTGTGTCATTCATATCTAATCTGTGATACATATTTTATATATAAAAAGCAATTTACTGTAGATCAAACTATTGTGTAATGGAAAGTAGAATGTGGGAATACAACTATCTGTTTTTAACTTAAATTTTTTGTATCTAATTCTAACTATACAATGAAAGAAACAAAAACTGAACTAACTGCTACATACAGACAATAATGGATATACCTACAGTTTGTAACAAATATGTGATGTTTGAAAACATGAGCTTTTAAACATAGATACCCCACTTTTATAGTTGACTCAAGAGTTGATTTTATATTATATTTTTTAAATATTTTTGTTGTTATTATTGAATTCATCTGTACAATGCATTAAATACAGAATATTTTTCACAACTTTTCTCTGTTGTTTTTCAACTTCAAAATTATGAAACATCATAATATATCATTGAGAACGTAGGTGGAAATATACCAATTTCAGAATTCTGCTCCTCCCCCCTTTAGGCTACTGAACCTATGTTGGAGAATTGCAGCTCATAATTAAAACAAGTAGCAGTTTGACCAAAATTTGTTATGCTATTAATAAAAAGTTAAACATTTACAAATTAATCTTTCTTATTTATTATAAATCACTCGATTAATTAAAGCAGTTTCACAATACATAACAAAAATGATACAAAATAATATGCTGATATCTTCCATAACTAAAATGGTTTAGCTTCAAACAGTGATAACTCTGCTCATTCTCTTTTCATTATCTATATTTTAACTATAATAATGAGAACTATCACCTCTTTATAGAAATCTTACATAATGCATCTGTAAGAATATTTCGATTAATGAAAACCTCTGTCATCTTTATTAATATTGTTGTTTTGGCTCTCACTTTCCCAAACTGAATTAGCTCATACAACATTTGGAAGCGGGATTAAGGTGGCAATATAATCATTATAATAAAGAGATTTAAAACCCTAAAAATTAAATTTTAACATTTTATTTACACATTATGTACAATCAAATAATTATCTCAGAATCTCCCAACCTCAATTTCCTGGTTTTATTTCTGGTTTAAACAATATTAATTTTGAAGATATTTAAAGGCATTAGGAATAGGATACAAATATTGATAAAAAGATAAATGTGCAAGTAACTAATGACTGCCATCTTTGTAATAAAATTTATGAATCAAATATTTATAACAATAGTCACATAATATTTGAAATTTACAAGGATAATATTTATGACTGGTGTTTACACATTCAAAGGAAAAACACACTGGTAATGAAATTTATAAATCAAATAACATTTATGACTGATTTCCATACATTCAAAGATAAAACAGAAAAAACCCTCCAAGACTGTTCTGGTGTTCAGTGAGCTTTCATAAAATATTTTTAACAACATTTGGCTTTTCAGATCTTAGTTAAAAAAAAATTGTAGTTCTAATGACTTACATATATACTAACAATTACTTTAAATTATTTAATCACCAGTACATTCCAAACAGATCTGTTTGAGGTAATCCAAATTTCAGAAATTCTTTCATTTTATGCAAATAAAGCTGAAAGCTTTAAAGCAGCTAAGTCTCTAACTCACTCAATGTCATCCAAAGTCTTCGACATTGAAAACACAAAATATTTGTCAATTTAATTTTAACATTGATGATGTGATCTTGCCAGGAAAAGATGGACTTCTGTTCTGATATCCAATAATTAAGACAAAATAAAAATTCTAACATTGGTACATGAATGTGTTTTAGTGCCATTTGTAACAAGAAACTCGAACAACGGGGCTAGACATATTCCAAAAGTCATGTGACACCATGTTCTTATCTGGAGAGCATGCACAATAAATACTATTGGTGTAGACTGGAATAACCAGACTCTAGAGATTGCCATTCGATTGGGACTTCTAGCATATTTCGTCGCACATAACCGATTTGAAAATAGAATAAAAACAGAAATGATATAATGTAAATCAGTTTATATACTTTCATATTACATTATTATATGCGTAGCGACCAATTTGTGTCAATTTCTAGGTCCCAAATATTAGTGATTTAGCTCCTTCAAATGTCAAATTACAACCAAAACAAAACATGCCAAATGAGTAAAATTTCAAATTAAACAAAATTCTATCAAGATCTGTCCTATATTTGGGAGAGATTCAGAAATAGGTGATCAAAAATTAATAATTTTGATGGGGGTCTCCCTTCTAACCAAATAAAACATATCCGCAAATGTGTATAAAACCTGATACTGATAAGATATTTTTGGACTGAGGATAGTGGTGACAACAATATAAGTTCAAATTAAATGTGAATCCAAATAAAAATCAGACAGAGGAATCCAAAACCATGTGAATACGGTAACATAGATTTTGATGGGATCCAAGACATAATTAACTTGATACAGTGACACTAGCAGGAGGAGTGGTTAAAAACAAAGTCATGGGTATCACAATGTAAGGAAGTAAGTTTTTACACTTATGAAATAGTAAATCCTATAAAGGATGGTTTTGTGATACCCTTGACTTTGTTTTTAACCAAATTAAATGTGGGCATGTAAAACTGTAAAAAAATTGACCAGTAGTTCTGTGTACATGCAAGATGGAAAATACAATAAAAGTTGTTATGGATAAATGGAAGCAACATATTCTAAGGGGAATTAATTCTGACTAGCTCACAACATTATGATGTTTAATCTGAATCTTACGAATCAAGTTCAGAATCATATCAATCAAGTCCAGAAATTACCTTAGCAAGGGTAACTTGGAATATAAATGTAATTTGATAGCTCTGTGTACAGATTGTAAATTACTGTATCAGTTGATTCACTTCAAAAGTTCTTATTTTGTACATTTCCAATGTATAAGTGATTAGAGGGAAATTATTCATTGGCGTATAGCTGTAGTTGAGTGTCATAAGTTCTCTGTTTATAATGTATTAGTTCTTTGATTCAATAATAAATTTCACAGCTTGAGCCAAATTATCTACTATTCCATCAGGTGTAACTTGGGAATGCTGTTCATCTTGAGGTCTGAAAATAATCATTTATATTAATTATCTTTATTAATCAACTTGATGTATTTACCAGTAGAGAACTATGAAAGAATGTCTGCTCTTTTATTTTGGTACAACAATTTCTTATTCTAATTAATAAAATTGAATGATTTTACTATTAAAAGAGGATTTATTGAGAATGTTTAATTATTAAAGTAACAATGACAAATTTTCTAACTAAACAGACTGCTACGCTTTTTTGTACCTAAATTTTCCTGTTCTGACTAGAACCCCTCTCATTCCACACGCCTGTGCTCCTCCAACGTCATTCACGATATCATCACCTATCATCACAGTCTGCAATTATATAATTCATAAACTAGAACAAGAGAAACGCATAGTAGGTAGTATTAAATATAAACTGTTACTATCTGAAATACAAAATTTAAACAGGGGCATACTTTTGACCAGATCTGGACAGTAAATTCCACCACCATGCAAATGGTACAGTCCTTACAGGGGTATGAAAAAGTAAGGTAAGAAAATAAAATAAAACAAAAATAAAATGAAATAAAGTATTTATATCAGGAAGGTATGTGAGTCAGTGTTCAAGTATCTTTCTTACAATGCCAATTACATCATTTTATTATGACCTTAAGTTTCTTGAAATGGTTTAAACATGCTATTTGGAGATCAAAAAGAGAGTGATGAAACAGTCTGCTAAGGCAAATAAAACATGTCAATACTACTCAGGTCTACTTCCACAATGGTGATATTCTACTTTGCTCATTTATACTCATTTGTACTACTTTATTTGTTTCCAGGGATATGTTTTGTCAGGCAAAGAAAAGAAAAATATACCCACAAACAACTTTGTCATCTTAGCCACAGAAATATTTGTCAAAATTTTCATTTTCTTTATAAATTAAGTATAACAATTAAAAAAATAAAAAAAGAACAAACCTCTGAGGCTTCGACACCCATATCCTCCAAAGCAGCATTAAAGAAATTTGATGATGGTTTCCCAACAACCTCTGCTTGTATATCACAAGCATACTGAAATGAAATTGTAATTTCAAAATCATGGATATTTTTTTCTTTTTGCTTAATACAGAAACTACATTGAAGATAGGGTGGATCTCTATCGCGTTCACAGGTCTTTCGGGAAAGGGGCGTAACTCTGGAATGGAAGGTTGCTGGAATTGAATATCAATCAGTTTCATCCATTCATGACCCCAATGCTTTACACCAAATTTAAAAATAAAATCACTCAAAAACTGTAGCCTCTTGTAGCAAGATTGTTAGAATTTTGGCTAATTATTAGATTCACACATTGTATAGAAGTCATATTGTCTCATGTGCACTTAAATCAAAATGAGTGAATGATTGATAAGATGACATATAAAAAAAGAGTTATAATTTGGTAAACATTCAATTCTAGGTTAATTACAGATATGTGTGAAATTTCTGGTGTAAGTTTCCACTACCCATATAAGGGTGGTTTTCGATGTCATTAGGCTAATTAACCAATCGTTATAATTAATTACGTCATATTTGACCAATTAGATAATTGAAGGTCCAAAACCCAAAGCTACAAGACCATCATATCTTTGAGCATTCTATATCAGCAGACATGCCCCAGCAAGTCTGGCTGGACGGGGTTTGAGAGAATGACTTTATTGTAATCTATTCTGCATTGTATCATATGTAAGCAGCTTGATATATAAAATGTAAAAACGAACTGATGTACTGAGGAGAGAAGAAGAGAATACACAACGTGAAAAGGACATTTAAAAAGTCAATGAACAATTAAAAATACTAGACAATCACAAGGCTATTAAAATATGTAGAAGAGAAGAGAGAGTATGCATTACACGTTGGATGTGGGGATTTTTCCCCGTGTATTTTCCACATCTAGCCAGCAACTGCATGGTGCTACACTCTACTGCATTCACCGGCCAGTTATTTTAAGCTATCTCTTTCCATATCCTTCGATATCGATCAGAAAATACAATCTTCATGAAAGTAATATCTCATGTAAATAAAATTCAAGCTGATTTATACAAATTGTTATAATTACCTCTAATGCTTTCATATAACAACCAACATCTAAACACAGTTCACCAGCATCTTTATAATACTTTCTGCAAAAAATCTGAAGTTTAATACAAAGAAATAGCATTTAGATTTTAATTTTCAAAAGAACCAAGTTTATAATGGAATATAGGGATAGCTAGTTTTGTATGGCACTTATAACTCACACCCAAAAAATCTGTTGTCATGATCTGCCCCCAAAACCACTGACACCTATTTTATACCACTTGTTAATTTAGACTTACAACACTTGTATCTCAGCAATCTGAGATTAGTCTTAAATTTTGTACACTAGTTAATTTGAGCAATTCTGACCGAAAATTATTTGTACCAATCAGAGACGACCCGGAAAGAGATAGTGTCAATATCAAATATTGTCTATAAACAATATTTTATTCATAAATGAATGGGAATGACAAACATGGCCTATTGAACCCCTCTCAAAAGAATGAAGTCTTAATAAAAGATAGGTTGCCAAGCAAAGAAACATACGCCCACAACAGCTAAGTCGTGCGGCAAAGGGTTGTCGCATATATTTTCTTTTGTCAGTAAGGAGAACGTCTACAACACATAAAAAATTTTATTACGAGTAATAACCCATTTAGTAATTATCAGAAATCATTAGAATTTGTTTCGACTTTTTTTTTTATGATCTTGAACAATTTATATTAACGTGAGCCTCTAGACTCTAGAGCATCCACAAAATTTTTCAAGGTGATTAAGGACCATAACTCTGGCAGTAATTATTGGAAATTCAGTAAGATTCTTCATCTTATGACCTTAAACACTGTGTATATTAACTTTAGCCTCTAGAGCGTCCACAAGATTTTCCAAAGTGATCATGGGCCATAACTCTTTCAGTAATTATCAGAAATCGTTGAAAATCAATAGTCTACTTTGTCTCATGACCTTAAACACTGTGTATAAATTTAGCCTCTAGATCATCCACAAGATTTTTCAAAGTGATCAAGGGCCATAACTCTGGCAGTGGTCATTCTGGCTGTTTTAGGTGGTACAAATGTCAGCTAATCTATCCTAGCTGTGGTCTGGAAATTAGATAACTCTTGTCAGGGATACTCCGCCACTACAAATGTCTGGCAATTACATAACTTTGTCAGGGGTACCCCACCACTAGAAATGTCTGTCAGAGTGTTTTTGTAATGCCTGAAGATGTACGGTTCAACTGCTATACGATTTTCATGTGGTACGTGACTATTATCATGTCGGAGGAAAGATTCTATTTTGATGGCATATTCTCGGGTTTATAATGATATTTTGAATGGGGTTTATGTTTAATAAAAAGAAGAAATAAACAAGCTGAGAAATGTCGACAAATATTTTGATTGGAATAGTATACATGTAAGTAGTCAATTGTTTTACACGATAGCGTGTGCGAGTGCTATTATTTAGCAGATGATGTCACTGGCTTGTTATCGTGGAGCGACAGTCACTGCCAAAAGAATTTCTGGTTGTCTTTTTTCTACTTCCATCCGTATAGAAGTCAGAACGTAGAATAAGAGGAATGCCAGACTTCTGCTGAAAAAAGTTTCGACTTTTACCCTGAAAAGTACGGTAATTTTGTAGGTGATTTAGAACAAAAGTACAGTTCGACAGTAGTCAGCAGGCTTTCATTCTATCGTATTACGACAACACATAATTTTGTAGGAATATTACTGACATAAATTTGAATACTGACGGGAATTAAATATGAAAATAACGAGGCGCACCTATTTTTTTCATTACGTACGAATTTGAATATTTTGTTGACACATGGTTTTTAATTGTGGTCGGAAATCGCCTGCTTAAATAATAAGAGTTATGCCCCTTTATTTTCGGTAAAAATGTCTGACAAGAAAATTTTTGAAATCCCATCACTGGTTGGGGGCCATGGCATTTTATGCATGGAATACCACACCTACCACCAGATACCTGGCAGACATACATTCTGATGATATCAGATATGCATGCACTGATACCATATAGGAGAAATTGGTACACTTTTCAGCTAGGTTGACGCTCCCCGGGCAGAACAGTAGGATGTTAAACCCTACATCATTTCATTTCTTTATGTCAAACTTCTTACGATCACATTAATTTAATGTTCCAGTTATTTTTGCTTTAAAATAGATGAAATATAAAACAATAAATGGATTAATTACCCCTTTCCTAATGAAAATAAAATTGGATTTTCCATTGCAATCAACATTTGGAAAGCTCTATTCAAATTTTCATAACTTAATTCAGTTGTGGCATCACCTATCACAACACAATTAGGATTGGAACAGTCTATTTCACTCAAGTCTTCCATTGCAGCTGAAAAAGGGAACATTGATTATCAGATATGGATATAAAATAACTTTTATCGCCCCTCCATCCCATCAAACTGGTCCACAATCCACACTGACGAAGGAAGAGTCTTATTAGTGTGTTTGTGGTTTTATGTGGTTGTCAGCTTTTTTTTAAAACTTGATATGGGCGATGTATCCCTTTTGTGTTATTATTTCACATTTCATTCTCCATTCATGCTTGGATTGTTTGAGGCTATTTTTTGTCTTTGCCATTGCCATTTGACATCTTTACCGCTACTGTATTGTATTATGTATATAAAGCACAAGTTTGTAATGTCTGATTGGGCATATTCCTGGTCAAATGTGTGCCAATCCACATGTCAGCCGGCATTGTAGCATATACTGGCTCAAATATGACATCTTGGAATTATTTTCAGAATCATGATAAAAATCTCAAAACTGGATAAACTTTTTATGTTTTCAATTGTCAAAGATGTATTCTTGCAAACCACATTTGTAAGAGAGAGAGAAATGGGGTTTAACGTCCACTTGACACAAACTAAGTCATTTTGGGACTAACATATGGTTTAATTTTATTTCAATAATTCGCTTGTGCATAGGGGTCTTTAGCAGTGGGAGGAAACCGGAGGACCAGGAGAAAACCCACAAGGTTGGACAGGCTACTCCTTGTCACGTACATCCGGGGAATCGAAACCACGACAACTGACTCAATGACAAACCTTATGATACAGCGTGCACGCGTTATCCATTCAGTCATCCCATCCCTTAAACCACATTTGTTTTTCCGATGTTATATTATCAGGGTTTCAACTCCAAACCCATACAACAAGTAATTGTGAAAAATACAGGGGGTAATTAATCTATTTCTTTGTTCAAAGTATGACAAACCTGATGATACTAATGTATGTGGTCTAAGATCTCTCTTTTTCAGAATCTGACACATTGCTGGTATAGGTGGAAATACATGAGATTCTTCCATTGAAAACCCAAGTTCATGTAGTTTTTTCACCAGTTTCCTTCTTGTACATTGGGTTTCATTTGTACAAAATCTAACAGGAATACCAAGTTTATTTAACCTGTGAGAATACAGAAAAAACCCCATAGTATTTAACAGAATAATCCCAGAATATTGAGAACTACACGTAAGTGATTATGCATGTCATGCACAAGTCAGAACACCTGATTTCATTTATTTGAGGAATTTTCATAGCCAACAAACTTTTGTTGTAGCCTACTGCTAAAGTTAAAACACTGAGCTGGTGACTGGCCCTAAGGTTAGCTTCTGTTGTTGTACTAAGTGATTAACATCCTCTTCATTTTTTATTATCTTAGCGCACGTGCAGGGGTCTCTCCAAGCCACATATGCTCATACCAGGGATTGAAACCACAACTACAAGCCAGAGGTGACCAGCCAGCTAAAGGTTGACTTCTGCCCAGTAGCTTCTTAAATACAGGCCCAAACCATTACTCATGTTAGACAAGCCTCGCTCGATCATCATTACTAAAGTCGGTACGATAAAAAACAAAGTCTTGATTATCCATTTCTACGTTTAATTATCCTTCATAAATCTATTCCAATCCGCTAAATATTGCATCAAGAGTTGACTATGGTCTAGATAAGTTAATTAAAGATACATTATGGGAGATTCAATAAAGGATTGGCAGTTCTCACTATAATAGTTAAAAACTAGATAATGTAAAGGCCATTTGCTGAAAATTTTATTCAAATTGATCCACTATGAACCAAGAACTAAGCAGTTGAAATTTCCGCCTAGCCTCGATCATCATTACTATAGTCAGTACGATAAACAGCATAGTCTGGATTAACCATTTAATCTATAAATCGTGAAGGAAAGTTATGCAGTAAATCGGCGCACAATCCACTAAAGATCGCAGGCTAGCGATGCCATCTAGAGTTGATTATGGTCTGGATAGGTTAATTAATGTCTAATTAATAATTTAGATAACATTTCAGGCCTAAAGAAAGACTTGCAATAGACAGATTTAGCTCTTGCATAATGTATGTTTAATGTCTAATTGTTAATTTAGATAACATTTCAGGCCTAAAGAAAGACCTGCAATAGACAGATTTAGCGCTTGCATAATGTATGTTTAATGATACTAAATTAGAGTTTATCAGCAAGTAACTATTAACTATGTAGTTTTCAGAAGTAGCCTACATCAACAATGGGTCGGGTTCAATAACTCTTGAAACTACTTTTATGATAATTTTTAATGCTCGATATCAATCCTAAAGCCTGTCAGGGATCATCTTAGGAACTCTCCGTAAAAATATTCACTATTTATCACCAATTCGAGAGTCGAGTCAACGATTTTTTTAATAAACGTCATAGACTCAAATGTCTGACTAATAATTTGAGACTTAGTCTCTCGTTTGACATAAAATTGAGTTTATGTCCAGGTCACTACCTTTTGATCCTACCTTTATTCAAAGTAAAAAAATGTTGTTTCGCACAAAAAAAACATTGATTTATCGGAAAACCACATCATGTTTTTATTGAGTAGGCCTAGCCTACAAGCAATGATCCGAGAACGGTCAAGTAAAAACTTGGACCTTATTCCATGGTAAGGAGTTGACATTGGAGAATATTGAATATTAATGGAGCTAAATTGCTAATATTTGGGACCTAGAAATTGACCCAAATGGGTCACAACGCATATAATAATGTAATCTGATTGTATATAAACTGATTTACATTCAATTGTTTCCGTTTTGACTCTAATTTTAAATCAGTTATGTCCAGCGAAATACGGCATAAGTCTCAACTGAATGCCAATTTCTAGCTTCTGGTTATTCCAGTCTACTGCGCATGCTCTCCAGATAAGATATATGGCGTCACACGGTTGTTGAATATGTCTAGCCTCGTTCTTTCTGGTCACTTGTTACAAATGACGCTGAAACGCACTATGAGTATGACTATGGTACATGATTCGTGTACCAATGGTTACGGTAAAATGTTTATTTTGTCTTAAATATTGTCAGAAGCCTACCATGAGTACCTTTTCCCGGTAAGATTACAACATCAATGTTGATTTGTATTGACAAATAATTCGTGTTTTCAACGTGTAAGACTTTGGATGATATTGAGTTAGAGACTTAGCTACTTTAAAGAGAAAGGGGTTGTTTCTTTACTAACTCTAAAACGGCTGAAATGGAACCATTTATTGCGTTTCCGCCCCCATTTCCACTTTCATACAAAACTCCTGTGATGTCTAATAGCACCCCTTTAATCGGCTTTTGTGTCCACAAAGCCATAGCCCTTCACTTCATCGGCAGTCTCTGTTACCAAAGCCTATCGTATGGGCGTGCTCCACCCTACAACGAATAGCCTACAGACATAACCTTGATGATACAGTCAGGTTATAACTTATTAACGCGTTGCTGTTTGGGGTAGGTAAATTATAAATTACTCCATGATACCGAATACACTTACAGTGCGTCTATTTATCGCAATTCTCTCTCTCTTTTACATTGCATTTTTATTGTATTTTTGGAGTATCGGAATTTACATTATCTTCCAATTTTTAATAAAAAGGCATTGTTTCGAGGCGGTATCATCGGGGAGGAAAATGGTTAAATCAAGTACAAGTCAAAAATGACGTGAGAGCATAACAGGTTCCGGTTGCTGCGAGAGTCATTGCATCTAGCAAAGTAAGTCGGACTACACATGCGCATTTTAAACAGTATTGAGACAACACGTGGATTTTGTTTTGTGTTTTAATACATTTCACCTTTCAGATTGTTATGATAATATTAACAAACTGACCGATTACAGAATTGATTCACGATGCTACGAAGGCAGGCTCGTTTGCGACGAGAATATGTTTATCGAAAAACACAAGAAAATAAACTAAGGACAATCCAAGAAAACAAGCAAACGATAAAAAAATCGCTTGATGAAAATCGACGAATTCCTAGTCAGTTGGCAGAAAATGCTATTGATATTCAGAAAACCATAGGGTGGGATGACGAAGGAGGAGAAGGTGCAACAACTAATGTTGATGATGAATATAAATGGGCTGGAGTTGAAGACCCTAAAATCATTGTTACCACAGCAAGAGACCCCAGTTCCAAATTAAAAGAATTTGCGAAAGAAGTGAAATTGCTTTTCCCGAATAGCCAGAGAATTAATCGCGGACACTATGATATAAAACAGTTGATTGAAGCATGTAGAGCAAACAGTGTTACAGATCTTGTCATTATTTCTGAACATAGAGGTACACCTGTCGGACTGATTGTGTGTCATTTGCCTTATGGACCAACTGCTTACTTTTCTTTATTTAATGTGATTATGCGTCACGATATACCTGAAGTAGGAACCATGTCTGAAGCGTTTCCACATCTTATATTTCAAAATTTTTCGTCAAAATTGGGAAATAGGGTACAAAGTATTTTGAAATACCTTTTTCCTGTTCCAAAAGAAGACAGTAAGAGGATAGTAACTTTTATTAATGATGATGATTTTATATCCTTTAGACATCATGTGTATGAAAAGGGTGAAGGAAAAGAAATCAAACTGAAAGAAGTAGGGCCCAGAATGGAAATGAAAATATATCAAATTATACAAGGAACAATTGAAAACACAGCAACAGCTGATGTTGAATGGGTTCATAGACCATACATGAACACAGCTAAAAAACGCAAATTTTTATCTGATGAAATATAAGTTACAGCTGTTACACTGTATATTGATATTATCTTTTCTATGTATTGTATAATATTTGTTAAAGATACATTATGTAAGATTTAGATAAAGAACTAGCCATTCTTGCTATAATAGTTCGAAAGTCGATGTAAAATGAATAATTTGAAAATTTCATTCAAATTACTCTATTGCAAGCGAAGATATTAGCCTTTGAAGGTTTGACAGACGTGTGCTATAATTTCAACCACCGTACTGGTTGATCGAAGCTAAGTCTCCATCCTCCATATTTGATTAAATCAAAGTATCGCTGAACCATTCTAATCTATTTAATATCGGAGAAATCTGATGTCATCGTGAGTTGATTAAGGCCTGGATCAGTTAATTAATGTCTAATTAATACTTTAGAAAACATTTCAAGCCTAAAGAAAGACCTGCAATAGGCAGATTTAGCTCTTGCATAATGCATGTTTAAAGATACCTTCCCACGTACTAACTGTATGATTTGATGATATATTTAGACTAAAAACATATTCAAATTAATTAATCTATCAAAAATTTGCTTTAAATCCTTCTCAAAACTGTGTATTCCCGAGGAGATACCCGAAGCTACATGTATGTTTAGAAGCCATGTTTGTCACCTAACTTGATTGAGGGAGGGTCCATTTTTCAGAATGTATTTGTCATTAGTTACTGTCCATTTATCATTCATATTGAAGCCTAAGTAAATTCTTGAATTAAATTCTGCCGTTTAATTGCAGAGTCTGTTATATGTTTACACCCCTCAATGTTCCCAAAATCACCTAACCATTCCATCTAGAAATAACAACTTCTCCCTATCTTCTATGTCAAGCTTGTAGACAATAAGCCGTCGGGTTGCCAGTTGGTGATACCCTGACATTTTTTCCCAGTGCTTGCCCCATATGTGTTTTTTGGGTGATCCATTATATTTTTTTAGTAAGATTGGGTGTCTATATACTTTCCATATATACCAAATTTGCCATACTTTTATTGGAAATAACCACCGATAACTAGTTTCATGAGAAAGTATCTTTAATTTAATTGAATATAAAAAATTAAAACTATGAAAATATTTAAACCTGTGTTGTGAATTGTCTTTTTGTAGTACTATTTGATAATTTATGCGAAAATGTATTTAGACGAATATAAGTGCACAAGAGGACATGAGTTATAATTTCATAAATACATCTGTTTTATTATACGCCCACATCCGTCCACAATTGTTTGTGGACACTCTACAGGTCACAATTTTTATCCGATTTCAATGAAACTTGAAATATAGGTTTATCCCCCTAAGATCTTGGTTCCTTTAGATATTGGCATGTATCGGACCTCAACTTCATAGATTACGGCCCCTGATTGTACGAAAAATCACTATTTAGCTTGTGGACCCTATAGAGGTCACAATTTGTATTTGATTTTGATGAAACTTGAAATGTAAGTTTATAAACAAATGATCTTGGTTCTTTTCGATATTTACGCATATTGCAACGTAACTTCCTGAATTATGGCCCCTGATTGTACGAAAAATCGCATTTTTAGCTTGTGGACCCTATAGGGGTCATAATTTTTATCCGATTTAGTATATCACCATTACACCCTAAGGATGGTTGAGTTCAAATTTCGTGAAAATTGGCCCAAAACTGACAGACAAAATGGCCGCATCTCGATCTCAAATAGTGCAAAAATATGGTATATCAAGGTTGTGGACCCTCTAGAGTTCACAGTTTTCTTATGATTTTGATGAAACTTGAAATGTAAGTTTATAACCCAAAGATCTCGGTTCCTTTAGATATTCGTGTTTATCGGACCGTAACTTCCTGAATTATGGCCCCTTCCTTATTGTACGAAAAATCACATTTTTAGCTTGTGGACCTTATAACGGTCATAATATTTATCTGATTTAAAAAAACGTTTGAATATATCACCATTACACTGTAAGGTTGGTTGAGTTCAAATATTAAAATCGGACCAAAACTGACGGACAAAATGGCTGCTCCTCGTACGCAAATAGTGTAAACATCTGGTATATCAAGATTGTGAACCTCTTTCTAGCGGTCACAATTTTGATCCGATTTTGATGAAACTTGAAATGCATGTTTATAACCCAATGATCTTGGTTCCTTTCTATATTCGGGGGATCGCGTGGCTAAGTGTCTGATCCCTGCATTGGTCGAGAAAGTTCATCCAGATTTTCCGGCGTGGTTCCCCCTTGTCAGTGGTGCAGGATGGAGGGCCTGACAAGGACAGCTGTCTAGTCGTTCAGATGGGACGAAAAACCGTGTACACATTGGCGTGCACGTAAAAGATCCCCTGACAGTTGGAATTCGATAAGAGTAGGCCATAGTGCTGCTGTCCGGGCAAAATTTCCCTCATAGCACACTGTATGGTGTAATGTGTATGCCTGTCTTCATTAGCCCAGTTCGGAGCAGAACAGTAGGACACTAAACCCCATTTCATTTCATTTCATTTCATTTCTATATTCGTGCATATCGGATCGTAATTCCTGAATTATGACCCCTAATTGTACGAAAAATCATGTTTTTAGCTTGTGGTCCCTGTAGAGGTCACAATTTTTATCCGATTTAAAAAAAGGTGCGAATATATCGCCATTACATATCCGAACATAACTTCCTGGGTTATGGCCCCTGATTGTTTGAAAAATCGCATTTTTAGATTGTGGATTCTCTAGAGGTCACAATTTTTTTTCTGATTTTAAGACGGTTTGAATTCGAATTTCGGGAAAATCGAAATGAAACTGCCTGACAAAATGGCCGCTCTTTGTACGCAAATTGTGTAAAAGTATGTAATACGAAGGTTGTGTACGCTCTAGAGGTTACAATTTTTATCTGATTTTGATGAAACTAAAAACATATCTTTATATCTTTAGCGTGTTCTCTACCCATCTCTTGCAAAATGTTGGCGTATCTTGCGTGGCAACAGCTGGTTATTTTATTTTACTGTATTGAGTCAAACTATATTGGGAATTTCCAGAGTCAACAATGGATGCTTTATATATATACTAACCCTAGAATTTACCAAAATACTCATTTTTATAGCTCAGAGCAACGAGGGGGTCAGGAAGTGTTCTCAGGGGTGCTTTAAAATTCACTGACAAATTATATCTATTTTTTTATGGTCGAAAATCTTTTCACAGGGGTGAGGGGGTGAAACTTCTAACCTTCCCCCCCCCCCCCGTTATGGGCCTGATGTGGACGAATATTGCTGTCACCCCTGTCTGTGTGTATGTTTATGTGTCGCCTACAGGTCGCAATTATTAACTGATCGTCTTGAAACTTACATACTTAAAGGAGCTAAATCGCTAATACATGTATTTGGGCCCTAGAGATTGACCCAAATGGGTCGCAATGCATATAATAATGTAATCTGATTGTATATAAACTTATTTACATTCAATTGTTTCTATTTTGACTCTAATTTCAAATCAGTTATGTCCAAGTAAATACGGCAAAAGTCTCAACCGAATGCCAATTTCTAGCGTCTGGTTATTCCAGTCTATTGCGCATGCTCTCCAGATAAGATATGGCGTCACCATTTGACATGATTTGTTGAATATGTCTAGCCTCGTTCTTTCTGGTCACTTGTTACAAATGACGCCGAAATGCACTATGGTACACGATTTGTGTACCAATGGTAAAATGTTTAAATATTGGATATCAGAAGCCTACCATTTCCCGGTAAGATTACAACATCAATGTTGATTTGAATTAACAAATAGTTCATGTTTCAACGTGTAAGACTTTGGATGATATTGAGTTAGAGAGACTTAGCTACTTTAATCCTTATACCCTAAGGATGATCCCTATTGTTTTTGGAGCATGCCTGACCCCCAGGGGCAGAACCACGCCCATATTTTGTATTTTGTTTGTTGTCTACAGGTCACATTTATTAACAGGTCAACTGCAAACTTTGCATACTTATTCCTTATAATACCGAAAAGGATCATCACTATTGTTTTCGGTACATGCCCAACCCCCAGGGGCAGAGCCACGCCCATTTTCTTTTTGTGTGCCTTTGTGTCGCCTACTGGTTGCAATTCTTAAAGATACATTATGGGAGATTCGATAACGAGTTGGCAGTTCTCACTATAATAATTAAAAACTAGATAACGTAAAGGCAATTTGCTGAAAATTTCATTCAATTGATCCACTATGAACCGATAACTAAACGAATAAAATTTCTGCCTAGCCTCGGTCATCATTACTAAAGTCAGTATGTTAAACAGCATAGTCTCGATTATCCACTTAATCGTTTAAACGAGAAGGAAAGTTATGCAGTAAATCAGATCACAATCCACTTAAGATCGCAGGCTAGCGATGCCATCTAGAGTTGATTATGGTCTGGATAAGTTAATTAATGTCTAATTAATAATTTAGATAACATTTCAGGCCTAAAGAAAGACCTGCAATAGACAGATTTAGCTCTTGAATAATGTATGTTTAACTGATTGACTTAAAATTTACATAATTATTCCTTATACCCTAAAGATGATCCTTATTGTTTTTGGTGCATGCCCCACCCCCAGGGTCAGAGACACCCATTTTTTGTATCTGTTTGTCGTCCTCAGGCAGGATTTCTTAATGGATCCACTTCAAACTTTGCATACTTATTCCTATAACCTAAGAATCATCACTATTGTTTTTGGTGCATGCCCAGTTGCCCACCTCCTGGGACAGAGCCACACCCAATATTTGTGTGCGTCTTGTGTTAGCCTACAGGCTGCAATTCTTAACAGATCCTTTTGAAACTTTGCATACTTATTCCTTATACCCTAAGGATGATCCCTATTGTTTTTGGTGCATGCCCCACCCCACCGCCCAGTGGCAGGAACATGCTCATTTCCTGTATTTGTTTTTTTTGTCATCATCTACAGGCCACATTTCTTAAGTGTTATCTTGAAACTTTGCATACTTATTCCTGATACCCTAAGGAACATCCCTATTGTTTGTGGTGCATGCCCAACCCCCAAGGGCAGATCCACGCCCATTTTGTTTTTGTGTGTCTGTGTGTCGCCTACAGGCCGCAATTCTTAATAGATCGTCTTGAAAACTTTTCATACTTATTCCTTATACCCTAAGGATGACCTCTGATATTTTTGGTGCATGCCCGACCCCCTGGGACAGAGCCACGCCCAATTTTAGGTGTGTTTTGCCTACAGGCCGCAATTCTTAATAGATTCTTTTGAAACTTTGCATACCTATTCCTTATACCCTAAGGATGACCCTTATTGTTTTTTTGGCGATTGCCTGATCCCCAGGTGCAGAGCCACAACCTCTTTGTCGTTGTGTTGCCTACAGGCCACGATTCTTAATGGATCGTTTTGGAACTTGGCTTATGTATTCCTTATAGCCTAGAGACCAGAACTGCATGTTCCGACTCCAAGGGGCAGAGCCACGCCCAATTTTTGTGTTTATCGTATACAGGTCGCAATTCTGAATTGATCAGCTTGGAACTTGGCTTATGTATTCCTTATAGCCTAAGCGCCACAACTATTGATTTTGGTGCATGCCCCGACCCCCAGGGGCAGGGTCATGCCCAATTTTTACGTTTAGCACCCAAAGGCCACAATTCTGAATAAATTATCATGGAACTTTGTATACTTACTCCTTATACAACTATTGATGTTGGTGCATGATCCCCCCTCCCACCTCACCCTTTTGGTGGTGCCACACCCACGTTTTGTTGATAATTTGTCTGTAAATGATATACAAGTTGCAATTATCAACTTTTTTGGATCCAAATCGGAATGATCCAGCATAGGGTTGTACCTATTTATTTTGATCCATGTCCAACTCCAAGGTTTTTGTCTACAGACTGGAATTCTAAATGGATCATCTTGGAACTTGGTATATTTATTCCTTATACTGCAAGGATAGCAACTATTTATTTAGGTGCATGTCCCGTTAATTTTTATCTGTAAATACTTTACAGGTTGCAATAATTAACAGATTTTGTTCAAATTCAGCATACATATATATGTATCTATTATTTCAATAACAGGGTGGTGCTTATTTATATTGTTCCATATCCAAACCCCAGGGGCAGAGCCACGCCCAATCAATGTATTTATCATCTACAGGTGGCAATTCCTTATACCATAAAGACAGCAACTATTTATTTTGGTGCATGCCCCGACCCTCTGGGGCGGTGTCACACCCACTTTTTTGTTAATATTTAGTCTGTAAAGTTGTCAAAACAAACGCCTAGCCTTCTTTGCCTCTTGTCATATAACATTCATTACAGCCATTTCATATTTCATTCTGTTCATTTTAAGAAGTATCAAACATGAATGTGGACGTATATTGCAGCGTTAGCAATGCTCTTATTATATAATGTGGCCATTATGGACTCTGGAAATTGGCGAACCTCCCCAATCGGCAATTAGCATCTCCAAACTATTTTCCAATGGTTAGATCTATTTCATAAGGCCAACTTCAATTTTAGTCAAAGGCCACGAGATGTGAACAGGGCTAGTGCTAACCTAACCCTTACCCTAATGTAGAATCTCGTCAACAATCACAGGTCTTAACCTTATTTACATATCGGCGACCTTGACGAAATCTTGAGTTGGCCTTAAAATATATAGATCTAGCCGGGCAGAAGGACTAAGACCAGAATGTAGTGCGAGTTATTAGTAGACAATTTTTCCCTTCATTTTTTTTCTCCCCTTTTCCTGCATTTTTGGTTTGTTTTTTGGTCTAGAATTGGAGAAAAGGGATCAAATTTGCAATTCCATAGCAGTTTTGGGTAATACTGATGATATCACAGGGGAGGGATACGGGGTGTAAAGTGTCTTTCTGCAGAGCAATCATTGTGTCTGAAGTGAGATTTTGACCCCAGTCAACATCAAATCCTTGTAGCAAAAAATCAAAAGGTCAACCCCTTACAAAATTATGATGATGAGATTGTCAAATGCTGTCCCCTATGTGTCTATAAAGATTGGAATCAACGGAATGTTGTGCAAAAAGCTACAGTCTGTGATGTTACAGCCATTTAACATTGATGTCAGTGAGCAAATATTACCAGTCTGAGCCCAGAATAGTTTGAAGGGAGATAACTGATGCAAAACTGTTTCGAGTATTTTGTCACGTGACATGTGTTTTGACAACATGGCGGACAAATGTTGAGAAGAGAAGAATCAAGTAAAATTAGATTTTATTTTCTGCAAGCTATTTGTTATCCGTTTTTATCTAGCAAAGGTAGGTAGGTATTGCGTATTTAAACATCCGTGATACGAAACATAATTTACAAATTTAGATTCAGAAAATTGTCAAAGATATTTTTGTTTTTTTAGCTAGATCTACCGGTATTCAATAATAATTCTAGCCTATAGGCTATATTGTTGGCCCAATTTGGAGATTTTTTTCTGTGATTCCTTTTACATACACGGTCGACAGGACCCACCGTGTGCGAGGGTAATATATCGTCTGCTACAGTAATGAGTAATGTACTATGTAGACATTCAACTACTATGTGAACTGTGGTAAATAATAAACGGATTTCTTCGATTATGAACAAACTACTATACTTTGGTTATTATAAACTTACCTGTGTGTTTGAAATTATCTCCGGTTATATAAAATCCATTGTACAACTATATGTCCTAGCGAATAAAAAAGTTCTCTCTTGTAAAATTGAACTCATCACAAACTTTGACACCGAGAAATAACCAAAATGAAGGCTAATTACGTCACTTATCGAGATATATCATTTCGTATAGGGGGGTCAAAGCAAGGTTTGTCTGTCGTAACGGTTGTGTATGAATAAGCTATTCCTCTCGGAACCCAGTAATGAGTTTGGGCGTTTAAAAACATAAATACGCCCGTAGTCCAGTATTTTGTTTCCCTCTTGTATTATAATTATTTGGTTAGAGAGTTTGGTGGGATTATTTCTTTTGAACTATATTTGTTTTACTGACCTTGAATTAATTTCACCCTTGAATATTTTTAATATTTCCTGATGAACTTAAGCAGTCCTGTCAATTAACCTCAGCCGAGGCCATTGAATCATTGATTGAATAGGTATAGGCCTATAACGTTATTTTTGTTTTATGTAAATACCAAAAATTATTACCAACAATTAATCATACCACACACCGGATTAATTATCGGCAGATAGTTCAGTTTCTTTCTATTTCGCTCTGAATATTATTTCCGGTGTGCAAAAAACTGTTTAGAAAAATTTATAATCGTACGTGATCGGTAACACAATTATTTTTTTAAATTCCCGGTTTTGTTTTGAAATTCACAAGGCAATGTGTATCCAATATACAATTATATATACAGGGGTGAAAAACAATATTATATTTACGAGTATTCGTATAATTGGTGATATATTCATTGTGAATAAAATTTAGTAGACTGACAATCAATTGTTTCCAAATCAATGTCTTTGTCTCAGTTGCTATTGTGTTGCCCAAACTCAAAACGGTCGTGCGCTGTTGTGATTACAACACACGTGATTCAACCTTTACCCCCCTTCAACATATTATGATGGTTTAGCTCATGACGTGACATGTGTAATGTTGTGATGGACACTGTCGAAAATACAAGCAAAAACATTGACTTTTCAAGAGAGAACTTTTGTTTTGGTTTGGATATTTAATTGTGCAATGGATTTTATTCAACCAGAGGTGATTTCAAACACATAGGCAAGTTTTTAATAACAATTATTCAGTAGTTTGTTCACAATCAAAGAAATCCGTTTATAATTTACCATGGTTCACACACTAAGTCTAAGAATAGCCAACGTTTTATTGTATTTATAAAAGAGAAAAAGACATAAAAAGTTGTTTTCCCAATTTACCATGTTAAGAAACGTAAAGATAAAGGCCAGGCCCCGAGTTCACAAAGCATCCTCAGACTTAAAGATACATTATGGGAGATGAGATAATATTTAGAGGGTATCCAGACCAAATCGAAAGACCAGTCGGACCAATTAATTTATATTGTATTATAAGTCTTGACTTATTTATTCATTTTGAAAATAAAATATAAACAATATGTTATTTATTTATTATTAAATCACAATACAAAGACGCGAATAATTTAACCCAACATATATAATGTTTAATATAGTTAAGAATTTACTCAAATAACTAATAAATATATAGCCCTTTATAAAACTTTGGTTGTTTTAATGTATCAAATACATCAATGAGAAACTATGTGCAAAGTTTTGTGTTTCTAGATCAAAGTTAAGTAAATTCTTAACTATAACTAAAGCCTGAGAATGCTTTGTGAACTCCGGCCAGTCTTCCAGGGCTAAAAATAGATGCCGGAAATACATCACATGTAAAAGCTCCAATAAGTATTGAAAATGCAGTGGTATTTGTTACATTTGAATGGTAATTAGGGCCACGTTTCATATAGGTAGAATTTTCTTTCGTTCCTAAACAACATACATATACAAATCGGGAACTATTAAAATGGGTTTGTCTGTTTGTCTGTCTGTCTGTCCGTCCGTCCATCACACTTTTTGGGACACAATAACTCTCCTCCTAATTGAGCTAGAATGTTCAAACTTGGTGTAGGTGTTTATTTGGTCAATGCCTTGATGGAGTTCAAAGATGGGTATTTTCTGCTTAGGGTAAGCAGAGATAAGTAATTTGATTGGTTGATGCTTTGGGACACGATAACTTTAGTTCTAATTAAGTGAGAGTGATGAAACTTGGTGTATAGTTTCATTACATCAATACCTTGACCAAGTTCTATAATGAGCATTTTCTACTCAGGGTAAGCAGAGCGATAAGCAATTTGATTGGACAAGACTTTGGAACACAATAGCTCTCCTTCTAATTGAGCTTGTTAGCACATGCACGCTGTATCATAAGTTCTGTGATTGAGTCAACTGGCAGGATTTTGATTCCCCGGTTGTACATGACAAGGAGTAGGGTCATCTGTCCAACTTCGTGGGTTTTCTCCAAGTCCTCTGGTTTCCTCCCACTACTAAAGACCGCTATTCAATAATTCGCTTGCGCATAGCCTATGCGCAAGCGAATTATTGAAATAAAATTGAACCATGTGTTAGTCACGAAATGACCTAGTTTGTGTCAAATGGACGTTAAACCCCTTTTCTCACTCTCTCTCTCTAATTGAGCTAGAACATTCAAACTTTGTGTAGGTGTTTATTAGGTCAATGTCTTGATTGAGTTCGAAGATGAACATTTTCTGCTTAGGGCAAGCAGAGATAAGCAATTTGATTGGTTGATGATTGGGACACGATAACTTTAGTTCTAATTAAGTTCGATAATGAGCATTTTCTGCTCAGGGTAAGCAGAGCGATAAGCTATTTGATCGGTCGAGAATGTTCAAACTTGACGTAGGCATTCATTAGGTGTATGCCTTGATGGAGTTCGATGATAAACATTGTGGTAATCAGAAATAAGCAATCTGATTGGTTGATGCTTTGGGGCACGATATTATATTTTGGTTTTAATTAAGCAAGAGTGATGAAACCCTGAGTATAGATTCATGATATAATTACCTTGACTAAGTTCGGCGATAAGCAATTTGATTGGTCAAGACTTTGGAACATACATGTAACAACTCTGCTTTTAATTGAGGTCGATGTTTAAACTTGATGTAGATGTTCATTAGGTGAATGTCTTGACTGAGTTCAATGATTAACATTTCATTGGTCGATGCTTTGGGACAAGATAACTTTGATTCTGTCTAATAGAGAGTGATGAAACTTAGTGTATAGTTGATAATCAGTTTGATTGCTTGATACCTTGGAAAAAAATAAATGTGCTACTAATATTAATATGTGTCATCTGCTTGAAGCATGGATTTCCCTTTAGTTTAATTTGGTAGGAATATTTATTTTGCTTCAAATTTTGTCACTTCTACAGAATTTTAACTTTTCTTGTCATTTTACAATAATATAATAATAAGATAAATTCTAGCAACATTTTATTGACTATTTAGCATAGTTTCCTGTTAGTTTCATCGCATTTTATACAAGTTTAACTTGACATTGTGCACAGGCTGTCATTGTGAAAATAAAGATTTGGTAAATGAGTTAATTAATTCTCTATCATCATTGACTCACTCCATAATCAAATGTATGAGATAGGAAAACTGACGAAAATATATATTCTTGTGTTCATACAATCTTCTCTTTAGTTGTTTGACACAAATTCGATTCCTTTGCATATTTCTAGACAGTAACATGAAATTGAACGAAATCTTTCATGTAGCCTACATTTTATTTTTGGAAATGATTGTATTGAAAAGCATCTATTTGCACATGTATTTAAATTGATTGCTGTGATCAAGTTGCTGTAGAAGATAAAGGTGAAGAAGAATCAATTGTAAGCGATGATGGATTAATCAATAAACAAACATATAGTCAAAGAGCTAAATGAGTAACAGATCAATAATTAGGTCAACTTGTATCTAACGTAAATATTGTCTTGTTGAATAGAAGAGGAATTTTGAATTTTGTCCTGAAAGATTAAGATGTAGGTTAGTGTGTTAGCATTTTATTGAATTTGAGGTCTTGCTGATCTATATATTTATCCACAATTATGTATTTCATGAACCTACATATATTGTCGTCGCCCCCATCTGTCCGGCATCCACAGTTGCTCATGGGATGTTATAGAGGCTAAAGTTAATATCAGATTGACTTTAAATTTATAATTATACACAGTGTTTAAGGTCATAAGACAAAGCCTATTGATTTTCAATGATTTCTGATAATTACTGCTTGAGTTATGGCCCTTGATCACTCTAAAATCTTGTGGACGCTCTAGAGGCTAAAGTTACTATTTGATTGACTTTAAATTTATACAATGTTTAAGACTCATGAGACGAAGAATCCTATTGATTTTCAACGATTTCCAATAATTACCTCCAAAGTTATAGCCCTTGAGCACTTTGAAAAATCTGGTGGATGCTCTGGAAGCTAAAGTTAATATCCGATTGACTTTAAATTTATACACAGTATTAAGGCCATGAGACGAAGAAGCCTACTGATTTTCAACTATTTCTGCCAGAGTTATTGCCCTTGACCTCTTTGAAAAATCTTGTGGAAGCTCTAGAGACTACAGTTAATATCTGATTAACTTTAAATTTATACAAACACAGTGTTTAAGGTCATGAGATGCAGAATTCTATTCATTTTCAACGATAATTACTGCCAGAGTTATGACCCGTGATCATGTCTTATAGACGCTCTAGACGCTAAAGTTAAT